CGGAAAACCGCTCGTATTCGCTCGACGCGTCGATGTTTTCTCGGGGCACGGCGGAAAATACGATCATCCTTGGGAATCTGCTTTTTCTTTTCACGCGCTGCATCAAGATACTATTTATAACGACACCCTTCGCGCCTCGAATTGTGAAACTGTGTGAACTAATTTTCTTCGTGACGGTGTTGCGACGCGTGTCTCGAGATGTTCGAATTTAAATTTTTTCACGATTACTCGGATACCTTTAAAAGAAAGACACTCTGTATATCGTAAAGAAAACTTGCTTTTGCTGATAGAGGTTTGCGTTAACGCTGTGGCAAAACTCTCCACAGCTGGCTAAATATTGCACCGACGCGTCGATGTGGCGTGTTTACAGAAATCTAGCCATTAAACCCTGCTATACGGAGCGATTCTAGCAACGGAGCTGAATTATAGCTCTCGTCTGATCGAAGATAAAGAAAATCACAGGGGAACTTTGAATTCCAACAAGCTACGAAAAGGTGAAGCACTACTTTACACGGTAGAAAAGAACGATGTGTTTTTGATCGAGAAACGATCCGATAAATGGGTTTATGGACGAAGCAGTAGGGGTGGAAGAAAGGGATGGAGAATTTTGCGTGCACGCGGAAACACGTCGTCGCGCGCGAGTTGTCGCCCGATCATGGGATTGACACCGTTTTACGGCGTGTATCGATATTGGCTCGGCGCTATTTTTAGTGGGCCGTATCGTGTTCTAACGATGCAAACCGCAAACGTGACCGAGTTATGCGAGTCGAGAGGCGCGCGTACCTAGAACCAGTCGCGCGAACCGCCGTCCTCGGTTCGACGACTCGCGTGCGCGCATTTACGCCACAGATGGGCACACTTCCGATCTGGAATAAAAATTTCGAACATCGAATAACGGACGAGCGTTCGTTCGTTGTCCGGTGGTTTCGAAATGGGCTAAAAAACAACGAAAACGAACGGATCAATCGCTCCTCGGTGTCTCGAGACGATGAGCCGAGACGCCATCTTGATTTCAAAGAGAAAAATGGTTGATTCTCGATATTAGTTGCGGAGATACGGTGTAACCCTTTCACCCTTTTGTATCGTCACTGTCGTTGAGGAGAAACAATGCGAAAAAACAACGAAAACGAAAGAAACGATCGCTCCTCGGTGTCTCAAAACGGTGAGTCGAGATGCAAGCCAGACGCCATCTTGATATCAAAGAGAAAAATATGAAACAAATGGTTGAGTCTGGATATTATGTAATTTTGCGGAGATAGGGTGTTCGTTATCATTAACCAACCCCCTTATTTGTCCAGATTTGACACTGATGAACCATTTTTAGCTTCACCAGTTGAAATTTCGCTCGAAAGTTGAGTTTTGCCGGAAAATTAGGAGTAGAAGATTCCGGGAACGGAAGGCTGAAATGGAACAAAGTTGGTTAGTCGAATGTTTTATGAAGCCAGTTCTAAAAGTTCGTGGATGTGTCGTAGGAAATTTGTCATCCGGATTCTGGCCATCTCTGCAGCGGGTCAACGTCGACGATTACGTCGTCAGCGAAGTGACGGTCGTCGATTATCCCAGGTTGTCTTCCTGGAACGGTTCCAGGGATGGCTTCCACGCAAGTTCGACGTTCCATCGGGGGTTCGTGGGTGAACTTGCTCGCTCGCCTGTTATCGGGCCTGCTCGACTGGAATATCTCCGCGAACCTGTATTCGAAATTCTGTGTCAGTACGGCTTGTGCACTTGAAGGCTTCTCCGAACGAGGAAATCAACGATTTGCCTACTGTTCGTTCGAAAATTCTTCCAACGCGAAAATTGGCTAATTACCCGTTGTGCAACTCAACAGACAGGCTGCACCGTTTAACTTCTCCACCTTGACTCGTTCATAAAGCGATCGTTGCATACGCAGACCGAGTTAAATCGGGAAATTTTAAAGCTCGAAAGAAATTACGTTTTAGGATATTTTCGAGTTAAAAAATTGTTCGTCGTCGGGAACTCTCGGTGTACTATTTGCGTTTGGACGAACGCCTCTTGTGAAAAATCTAGACTTCTAGCGTTACGTCACTGTTGTCCCTAGCGATGGGTATATTTAGAGATAGTATGCTCCGCTACAATCTAAAACCGAGACGAAGATCGAGAGACGAAGAGGTTTGAGAAGCGGAAGGTTGTCACGGGCCAGGAATGTGTAACAGTCCAATACAGCCGCATTGATTCACCGGGAACAGAATGGAGGCTAGAGAACAGTGGTCTCCAATCTCCATCAGAGGATGAATAGTCCGCAATAAGAAACGATGAATTCTTATTGCGAGAGAAGCAGAGCACTTCAAAAGGCCTGTGCACAGCCGTTCTCTCCAAGACGGTATCGTTGGACGACAGCAAGAGATTTTAAGAAAATGATCAGCAACTGGTCATATAACCGTAACCGATGCAAAACACAAAAGAAGCCTAGGATTTAGAACAGGTCAGCAAACTACAGCTCGCGAGGTAAGAATGATTGTTAACCCTAATTCTACCGGAACATGACTTCGAATAACCGTAGAGTCTGTAAATAAATTTATATGTTACGTAATGACGGTTTTTGTATTACTAAATTACTGGTTCGTAAGTTGTTTTTTCTTTTATTAGTAATTTAAATGATTTTTCTGGCGTTTCTCGTTCTCAGTGCGAATTAGGGTTAAACGAATCGTGCGACAGAATCACGGAATTGCTGTTCCAGTATCCATTGAGTAGCATAACATTAATGTAACGCAGCCCCATGTCCATTCGTATACCTTTAAAAGTAATTATGTTTCATAGAATTCCATATTATATAAAAATATATTCTATGTTTTTTTATAACGACGTTTAAAAGTTGTATCAGCTGACGAGGTCATTAGCGAGCACAGAAATATTAAAAGTGGTTTGACACACATTTCATATATCGCCGGCAGTTTTAATATTTCTATTCAAAATTTAACCTTTCCGCGAATACGAACATTTTAAAACGTTACCACGTTTAGCACGTTACGTTAACGCAATTAATTATTTAGAAACAACAACGTACGTAACATTAATTATTCATACCCTAAAAACTGTCGAGTATCTACCACCCGATATTTTGCATACATCACAGTCGAACAATTTCGTCGACTTTCCTCGTTAGAGACCCCCAAAAATCTGTGTCTCCCAATCTCCATCAGGAGACGATTCTCCGGTCCAAGACAAAGCGGAGACCCAGAAGTTCTTAAAAGCACGAAAAGTAGAATAGCCGGTGTCCCCCGATCCCGTAGGCAGAGTCAGTGACTTGGTAGAGAACGGAGAGAATGCAAGAGATTTTAAGAATCATCGTCAGCGAAGAGTGCTCGTGCCCGCGTTGCCAAACGCGCACGGCCAGCTGGAGACAAAGAAATACTCCGGTCTTGGAATATAAATTTTTCCGCGGTCTGGCCAGCCCAGGCGGAGGAGGAGCAAAGGAGAAAAAAAGCAGGCGGAGGGAGGGAAAAACGTGAGGAACGTGAAACGTGCGCGGCTTCCAGCGATCCGAGCACGATCGAAGCAGCGCACGCACGCTTGGTCACGGCCCGTACGCACGCATAATTTGCATACGCGTAGCAATGCAGGGTGAAAGTACCGATAGACCGTCGCCTTTTAGGTTGGACAAAAGCCACTTAGACACGCGTGTGTGCCAGTTCCCTCTTGCATCGCGGACACATCCTCTTTCTTTCTTTGGGATCGTAATTCGAGATCGTCTTCGCCCTTTCATTCCCATATTATTGTTCCCAGGTACAGAACACATATCGGTGGACGTTTGACTTTTCTTTCACAACTCTGTGAGATTGCAATATCGAGTAAAATAATCGGTTCCAACGGTGAGGGTAACGAATGTGTCGGACTCGAAGCATCTAGACCGTGTGACGCAACCAGATAGATTTTATTCGGCAACACGCGAGACATTTCAAAACGTAGAGATCGTGACGAAACGTAGAAACATCGAGTCGATGACTGAATGATTCAACGTGGCGTCGATGAAGTCACGAACTGGGAAGGATCCAATGATCGAGCGTACAGAGATTGGATGTTCGATAGAGAATGCAGCGGCTATAGCTTGAAGCTTGAATATCTTTTGATCGAAACACAGAAATAGAACGTTCTTATTGTAGGTGTTATTTAGTTTCGAGTCGATTTCGCGTAGCACGCTTACCAACCGTAGACATCGGCTGTAGATCATCTCTAATTCCGTAGAGAGCACGCGGGACAAAAGGGCGAGATTTATACGACACGATCGCCAGTTTCACACGCTACCGTACCGCCAGTTTCAGAGCACGTATCACGCCCGAAAATACACACGGCCAAGTGAAATTGGCCGGGATAAATACTAATTTATATTTATCTTCTTTCAGATCACTCTCGATCCCGTGGTACCGCTAAGGAACGCAGAGATGTAGCGCGAAATCGTCAGTGCCGTGTAACGCAACGCTCAAGAATCGAATGTCTTTTCGTTTCGCGATCGATTCGATCGAACCGTAACCGTAGCAGTCGAATCGTTGTTCGAAGATCCTGCGAGATCTATGTCTCGGTGGAGAAACGGGCGCTAGAGACTCGCGGAACGGATCGAACACACCAAAGTAATCGTAAGAGGAGAATGGGGAGACAGGCGGGAGGTGTCAGGATCGCGTGGACCGAGGCTCGACTGCCCTCGTGGCCGTGGAGAAGGAGGTTCTTGGGCCAGGTGGCCTGAGATATGCCAGCAGTAGCGAGCTCGGTGATAACGGAAGTAGCATCATCGAGGCTGAGAGGGGAAACGGCGGGGTCGGGTGGTGGCGTGGGTGGGCGACGGCTGGCGATAGAAATCGAGACGATCGAGCGCCGGGTCTGCGCGACCCGACGCGATCTATTCGTTCCGGTGACCGTCGATCCGCGACCGAGTCGGACCGTCCACTGTCCGGACCTGAACGCCTGTCTGGTGAACGAGTCGCGGCCCGAGGACGAGCAGGTCGACTGCCAGGCGATCCACTTCGGTTACGCGATCCCGGTGAACGTCGTGCCCGTCGAGGGTAGCACGAGCCTGGTGGAGCTGGTGCTGGACCACTCGATCGAGCTCAGCGCGAGTGCGGCGAGCTTCTTGCTCGATCATCATCCCCAGTTGCGCAAACAGCGGCTGGAGATACAGCGGGAACGTCGGTCGAGGATGGCCGCGACGGCGAAACACGATCTGCGTCGGAAGTTCCCGACGGACACGTCCACCTCCGGCGACGAGGACATCGCCGCGATCGCGAAGCAGATCAGCGATCACGCGGAGGCGATCTATCAGACCTGGAAGAGCCGGGGTCTGGCGCCCACGGAGATACTGAATTGCCACAGCAACGCTACCGCCGCCGACAAGTTTGGCAGCGCGTTGACGCCAACGGCGAACGCCACGGGGAAGACCTCGCCGACTGGCACGACGTCCGCCGCCGCCGCGGTCGAGATTCTCGCCCAGGCGCCGAACCTGGACAACGGCAACCTGGAGAAGCTGGTGAACAACTTCGTGGTGGAGGACAAGGCGAGACTGGCCGCGTCCAGGCAGCGATCGCCCTCGAAGACGCTGCCGTCGTCGATACAGTTCGCGCTGCAGAAGTTCGAGAGGAACTCGACGCAGCAGCAACCGCCGCAGACGTCGCCGTTGAAGAGCAGCGGCGTCGGGGCGCAGCCCAAGACGAAGCAGACGAACGTTCTGCTGTCGCCTACGTCCCCGTTCGCGAACAAACCCTCGCAGATCGTGAAGCCCCAGGTCTCCACGAAGACTCCCGGTGCCCATCATCGGGAGGTCTTCCTGGAGACTATAGAGACGACGTTCCCGGCGGATCTGGCGCCGTCCACGAAGATCGTGCAGCAGAAGAGGCCGACCAGCACGGTGATCACGTCGCCGATCGGTTCGAGCCTCGAGGACGCCGCGGGCACCGCGAACCCCGGACTGACCACTTGGCCATTGAAGAACAAGCTGAACGAGAACAAGAGATCGCCGGACGGCGCCGCGAGATCGATCCAGGAAGGGAAATCGTTGAACGCGAAGGAGGAGAAGAGAAACACGGGCTCCAATTCCAGTGTTTACCTGGACGAGGTGGCTCGCGAGGAGGAGAGGCTGATAAACGCGTTGAAGACGGGCTCGGTGATCACGGAGGAGCCCGCGGAGAGGACGTTGCCGGCTCTGACTCGGCAGAAGCCGGCGATCAAGCGGGAGAAACCGAAGGTGGAGCCGGTGAAGCCGATAATCATCGGTCACAATCACCACGGGACCGGTCTGATCCCAGCTTCCGCGACGATGGTCAACAATGTCGTCTCTCCGGCAGCTGGGGCGAACGCCGCCGCGGTATCCGAGCCGAAATCGCTCAGCAAGGACGATCTGTCGAACATGTCCGTGGTGGATTACGCGAAAGTCAGGTACAGAGCGGCTCAACAGAATCCCTCGACCCAGCAGAGACTCGAGGAGCAGAGGACCAGCGGCGCGTCTACGTTCAATTCCACGGATCAGTTGGTCTCGACCACCAGGTCCAAGTTCGAAACGGAGATACGAAAGGACAAGGAGATCGGTAAAGACGACAAGGATCCCGTGACCTCCAGATGGGGGCCCAGAATTTACACGCCCAGACCCAGGATCGAGCAAGTGCCTCATCCCGAGCTGACCACGCAGCAGAAACAGCACATCAGAGCAGCCGCGGCCACGGGGACCGGGAACAATCCTATCAGACCGTTTCTGACCAGAGGATCCGTCGCTGAGCGTGTTCTGATCTTCGAGAAATGCCCCAGCGAGCTGTTGCTGGACAAACGTGGACCGAGGCAACCGGCCATCAACACCTGGAAGACCGGGCACGAGGTTCAGAACAGGGCACAGGTAAATTGGTGGACGATGTGTCTTTTTTCGTTGGCGAAGATAATTTTAGAACTTTTTTAAAACGAAGATTTTGTCCTGAAAAATTTCTATGTTATTCTTTATCTGTTCGACGACTCGTACTTTTCGAAGTTTCGATAATAACTTTTTCCTAACAAGGGCGACGAAAATGTCGTATCCGCGCGAGCTGCAGGAAATTGAATTTTCTTTGAGAAAGACACCCTTCGCGGAGTTTGAAAGCCGTCCGCGTGAAACTCAACGCGAGAACGTAGATAGAAAACGAGCGCGAGACGGTGCTCGCGAGTTCCTGGAAGAAGTCTAATTCGGCCGGGACGAGATCGTGGCTCGGCGAGGCCGTATCGAGCAGCCCCGAAGATCGGGAAGACGCGTCTTCTCGCACGTTCTTGCCTCTCTGGGTGGCTTATATCGGGCCTTCTTGGTCGTCGTCCAAATTCCTCTTCCCTGGGAGGACGTTCGACCGGTCGACTCCTGTACTTTTCTCCCGAAACGAGTTCAAGATCTCCTCTCGTAGAGGTCGGTTTCTACGTGCCTCGAGCTACCAGACCATCCCTCCGGGAACGTCGCGTTTCTTCTCCTCGTTCGCCGGCTCCCTCGGGTACCCCGGCCAGGCTGAATCACTCGAATAGGATGTTTGCGATCCCGAATGTTTTCGTCGAACGGTCAAATACCGGGAAACGCCGGTTTACCGATCGAACGTTTGCGAAAGAAACGTCGTGGCGAGTTCCGAAGTGGCTTTGGACCGGGGCCAGAAAGAAGAAGAGTATACCGGGCGACGAGCGGCTGCCAAAAGGCGTTATCGCGCCACGATATGCGGCTGTTTCGAGTGCATCGGTCTCTCTAACGCGCCATCACCTTCCGCGATCGCTACCCACCACAGTTCGATCGCGATCCTTCTCGTTACGTTCTCCACTTTGGTCCCTGGTTTAGAAAAACATCTATAGCGATCTAGTACTTTGAGTCAACATGGTGATATTTAAGTGATCCTTGGATCAGGTGGTGATTGATAGGTCACAGAGCCTAGATCACTCGTTGCATTCTCTGTTTTAATTTTTCATCGAACCATATACAACCTGGGTAAACCCTGAATGACTTATAAGTAAAATATCTTGTCTACATCCGGTATATAAACTTTCGGTATTGTATATTTGTAAATTGATCTTGATATCGGGAAGAGAAGGCGAGGGAGCGCGCAATCTCGATCAGTGGATCCTCTTTGGGGATCTTAAGATCGTGTCAACCGCGCAGTACACACCAATGATAAGCCACGGTTTTAACACGTTGCTCAATGTTCGAACAATGCATGCGCCCCGAGGGCTTGGCCGTTGCATTGTTATTTAGACGGTCATTGCATTCCCATTGTGATTCGAGGCGAGCCAGCGTTTGCCTTCGTTTCGACTAAATATCCAATAAAACAATACCGATGACCAACCGAGGCTTCGACTAACATACCTTTGCGTCGAATCTCTTTACCTTTGTCGATCACTGTGTGATGACTCACGGTCAACAAGCATGCGTTTTTAATTTCTCTGATAAGAATATTATTTATGACAATGGTGCATTTTATTTATTAGTGTTTTTCTGGCAGTTAATTTAAAAGCTTATTTTATTGCGATCGCATACAATGGCGGGCAGCTACATGAAATAAATCGAAAAAGAAATTGAAGAGAGATTCACAACGTGCTCCATATAATCTTAAACGACTCTACTGTATTATTAACCGTAACTTGCGTGTACAATGGGCATTACTTTTCGAGTAACCATCTCGGTACTTAGTTTCCGTGAATGCTCGGAGAATGGTTGCGATCGTCGGAAGGAACGATACGAACAACAGAATTCCGGGGATACCGGGGATGCGTCGATCACCGGGAACCGAGAAACACGCGGATATTTATGGATGCAACGAGTGCAGAGGCTGCATCGATTCCCCGTTCTTCTGGTCGAGTTCGCCGATGAAACGTGAATAAAACCGAGCACGCTCGAGGCGCACAAGGGCCCGTACGGACCGCGTGCCAATAAAAATTTACGCAGCCCCGGAGAAGAAGAGAGTGCCGACGCGCATTAACGCCGTCGAGGATCGTCGTCGAGCGCGCAGAAGTCGATCGGACGCGTTTGTTGCCTTTTCCGCGGGACGATTATTTTCTTATCCTTGAGACTTTGAAAGTTTCCACGTACGACGCGTTCTCGACTCGTACTTTCGCGACTCCTCGCCTTTTCACCTGTTGTAGGCTCCCACTATGCTCGCGGAGCCGTTTTATTTAGTAAATAGAAAGTTCGATACTATTTACAAACACTTGAATTTATTTACAATTCTATACGTATGCGTTAACAGTTTAATATTCGGTGTTCTTGTTTCGATTCTTATGGAGTTCTTAAGATGTTCTAACTTGGAGAGTCCTATGCCCCATAACTCCGTTATTATTGCATTTCCGAAAAAATGCCAAAGGAGAAAGATAAATGGTTCGAAGAGCACTGCATCTGTAGGACTTTAAATTTTTTTTAGATGCAGCGGTGCATGTGCAATCAACAATCGCATCGTTTCTTTAAATAGAAATGCATATTTTTTTTTACACGGATCGATTCGTTTGTTCATTCTACGTAAAAAATGATTAGGGTACCATGGCCAAAAAATTATTAGATCTCGAGATATTTTCAAAAAATGTCTAACTAAATGAGGGGTATGCTAATAACTGTTGGAATTCCCAACACCTGTCCTGGCAATAGTAATCAAATCAAATTGTTATATTTAACGATGCACCGGAAGATAGAATTATTACCTGGTAAACTTTTTTTTTGTTATATTCTGAGATCACCGCCTTAAACCCGGAACTCCGTACGAAGGAGAAACAAATAAACTATCCTGCTTGTTCTTGTAATTTATCTTGTAGTTTGGTCTTAATGCTAACAAGGGGATCTTAGAGTCGTGGAAATCGCTGTTGAAACAATAGCAGATGCAAGTTATATATCCGATATAAAAAAGAACCCTAATGGGTCCTCGTTTTCGAGATATCTACACCAACGTATTCCTGGCTAGTTTCTTTCCCCGGTAACTTATTTCTATACTAAAGTATTCCAACAGTATCTTGTGCCTACGCTAACTTATTCCCGCACTCTTTTTCCTCCATCTTGCTACTTCTTCTTCGAACATTTTCCGACCGCCTCTTCCCTCGTTGCTCGTACATTTCCGTGCCACGTATTCTCGAGGCTCTTTTTCCAAACTCTATGCACGCTTTCCTCTTCCTTTTCCCCGATATCTTACTTTCGCGTTAGCGCAACAGCCTCCGCCCGACGACTTATTTCCTTTAAAAATAAAATAAAACTTCCGGTATCATCTTTCGGAACTCAAAGTTGGGAAACATTTTATCGAATAATATATTCGAGAACGCTTTCGAAAATAACATAAGGCATCGTACGATCGATCGTAGGTCAGAATTTTCGTCGCGAACGTTATCGTTATATATTCGCGGTTTTATTGCGTCGTCGTGTCAAAAATAATGGTTACGGCGTTTGCCAATATCAATACATCGAACGCATACAAGGTAATTCGAAAAAACTAGGGCAAGGTGTAGCTCTTTTTCGAGCGATGATACGAGCAATTGATGACTATCTATCGACGATATTATGCTTTCTTTCGGTGCAGCGGTGCAAGTACACCTACATATATTGCTCTATGCGCTTGCACTTGTAGTTCAAATGGAACTGTGCACTTTTGTCTCCACGTAAATCGATTTTTCTCGTCGACGAGCAATTCGATTGTATCTCGAATTTGATGAGAGATTAAAAAATACTGTACAAAGAAGAACTGAACTCGAATAGTGATGCATCCAAAAACAGGAAGAAGTACGTCCAAAATTCTGTGCAGAAAGATTGGCTGGGCGAGTCTGATTATTTACGGAATAATCTACTTCCTTCGAGTCCATCGTCCCTAATCGAAGGAGATTAGGCTACAACTAATCAGACAGACCTTTCGTCAGCTTCTCGTCTCTCCACAGTGTTTATAAAATGGCGGTACAACGTTCGAACTTTTCTAACGCTAAATTTACAAAATGTATTAATTTCAACGAACTTTAAATTTTAATTAACTTTAATTAACTTTATTAATTTTAAATTTTTCTCAATTTAAACTCCGTAAAAATTAGTTTCTTGATTCGAGGAGTGAACAGAGTCACTTTCCTTGTTTTAATTTTCTTGGGGACGAAGGGGCGAACTCGAGGATCGCCCCAGAGAGCGTAAACCGTAGCTACAGCACTGGACACGCGGCCAGTGCATCGTCATTATTAATAACAATAACAAGAGAGGGAATGATGAACGAAAACAAGGCCTCCTTGGAGAAAAGGCGCAGTATCACGCCGAAGGAGCTTCGGTCTCAATTAAGTTAATCGAGGGGGAGAGAAATCGAGGAGCAGAAACGCAGCGTGTCGCGTTGTTGTTTGCCCGGCGCTGACTCACGGTCGGTTTTCGTTGCGATTAATGTTATTCGACCTCGAGGAAAGAAATAAAGGGACGCGAAAGGACCACCGTGACCATAAGTGGAAGCGGAGGTCTCGCGGCCAGTCCTTATCGTCGCGGTCGGATTAAACGATACGCGAACCTGTAACGTAATGTCACACTCGTTATATTGTTACGGTTGCACGCTATGCGGAGTGCCAACGTGACCGATGAATTCCAATAATCGATTCTTTCAAGGCTCGTGCGAAAGAAATTCCATCACCTGCGTTTTCATTTCACGTCGTCGCGTCGTATCGTCGATTCCTCGGTCGCTTTTATGGAGTAATTTCTTTCTAAGAATATTCTCGATTATTCTAATTTTTGTCTAACGTTTCCTAATCTCAGATATTGAAATTGGGTGAAAAAGCAGTACACTTTGTAAGTAAAAATAAAACTTTATTCTGTGGTTTGGAAGGACGTCTTTACTCTGTTGAAACTGAACAAGAGGCGAAGCGACGCTCAGATCCCCTAAAAGAAAAGACAGTGTTTCTCGCTGTTAGATTCAGTTTTGTAATGATTATTTATTAATAATCCAACATCAGAGACCCGAGATACACCTTAAGGCGATCGTCGTCATCCAGGTATCGTTAATTAAAATTCGGATAATAAGAGAATCCCCGGGTCTCGCGTAATATGCGTATCGTTCGTCGCGACGGGGATCGATCTTTGGAAGGAAAATAGGAAAAAGTTTCGAACGCCCTTGGATCAACGGCGATAAATCGTTCTCGCGGCATATCTGCTCCGACTGACTCATTGTGGCCGTTCCATATTGGATATCGTGCTAGATTTTAAAAGGCTGCCGACTGTCGCCTTGGAACGCGCCGCTATCGCCACTTATGGTCGAAAAACGGCTCGAGGAGGAAAGTTCGTGACGATCGTCGCCGGGGAATGGAACGGTCGTTGAAATAATGGAAACAGGAAGAGGGTTCTGCGGCGATCGTCGTTCGCACGGTATCGCGAGATTACCGTAGTACGAAATTCTAATGGACTATTCGATGCCCGGGAGGACAGAGAAAACGTTGCTTACGGAAGATTGCGGTGATCATTCTGCCAGAAGAATTTCCATCTATCCTTATCCTCGTAAAACTATGGCTACTCAAGATTATCTTCAAGACTTATCAAGACTTTACCTGAACCTAGGATTTGAAATGAAAAATATAGCACGTTGATTTTATTAATTTTTACAAATGCAATTGAATAAAATGGCAAGGCTGATCGAGAGGCGCAGTCGAATTCGCAATGTCAATTGGAACGCTGATTGACGGTATCCCGTGTGCCGCTCAGCGGACCGTGCCAAACTGAGGCCACAATAATTGAGATGGCCGATCACGCCCGCGATCAGCCGCCATCGACACAGACGAAATTCGTTTCTGGATGCGTTAATTTAGCCAGCTTGACGCGTCTCGCGCAGGTTTTCTGTTATCCTAGCTTTACGATAGTTGTTGTAAGACTCGTGCGACCTCCTCTCGACGCATGTTGTTCCTAAACGTAGACGGTCGGTCCGTACCTCGGATCGACAATTGACGTCTCGATTTATCTTGATCCATTTGATCCCGCGACTCCTCGACGGGTTAACGTCGGTCAGTCGCTCCAGCTGGCTTATTTTTGTTCCGCGGAGTGGAATGCATTATTGATCTTCCTGAAACGGAACATCTTCTATTATTGATACCGCTGGTTTGGCCCGTACTCGCGTTATACTATTTTTATTGCTCGTCAAACGTTTATACTTGGCGCTATTCTCGTTACTGTTATTAACGTTGCAATCGTCGAGCCTCTGTACAATCACGAATACGCAGCTCCGAACGTAGAAGGATGCGCGACGGTTTCAGACGGGCAGGTTTAGATAATGTACGCCGTTAATACATTGAGTGCTATGGATACGTACAGTATTGTTCGTAATTTTTTTTCAAAGGAAGCCTGCTCTGATTCTGCTACGGTCGTATAAGTGCTGTTTTTTTTAATTTACTTCCTGAATTATCACAAAGTCAATTCGAACAATAGAGTAAAATAAAAGCTTGTTTGCTAGTGTGAACGTGATCGTAGATTTCAAAACGAACTTATTAGAAATTACAATCACCAGTCGATTGCCCTGCGCAACTATTTAGCCAATAGCGTACGTGTTATGGCTGACACGGTTGTTATAAATATTAATACCGGACTCGCGAGCCGCGTCGTATGTTTTTTAAGGTCAAGACATAACGTCTTATTTTTGTGGTATTATATCCATTCAATTTATAATGAATATTATAATTCGAACCTTGGAATATGAGCAAATAAGAGTGATAAAAATGATTAGACACGCGTTTCGTATCAGAATTCTAATCCTCGCCCCGACTACACGTGGAATCGTTCGAATAATTACGAGCAATATACGCATTCGACGGATGCCATAACGCGGACTACGGACTCATGCTCGCGTTCAGCTCGCGTTTTCATTGCTTATTAAACTTAGCGTGAATGAAGGATTGAAATAGTGACCCAGTTGAGCATTCCACAGTCGATACGGTGTGTCCTGAAGTTATCTGTACTTGGTGATAATAAAAGTAATCAAAATTGCCCACCTGCGCGGCACATACGTCCCACGTTACCGATTTCGTTAAAACTTTGCACACTTGTGGACTTAGTAATCCGGGTTTAAGAATATATAACAGTATTGGGACAGATACTCGGTAATTTTTAAAATATTTAAAGTTCCATTATTATCTAGAAATATAATTTTAATCTATCAAGTTTCAATTACCATCAGGGGACGCGGTGATAAAGTAAGAGACTTCCACCCAGATGGTCCAAGTTCGAATCCCCGATAACACGCAAGTTTTTTCTCTGAATATATATAAATTCAAATAATGAAATTCATACATAAAAAGTGCTCTTAATTAACTTTTAAATAAAGTATCTATTTATTAAAATGTAATAATGTATAGAAAAATATCAAAATTTGGTATACGATAATCTGGTGAAATTCTCCATCCAGGAAGCCAAGCAAGCAAAATTATATTAACAACCATTTAATTCCCCATTTACGTGTGAATTTTGACTATCGAGTGAAGAAACTTTGGTAATTATCGGGAATCGAACTTGAATCTATTTGGGCGGTCTCTTACTTTACCATAGCGGTAATCGACACTCGATAGATTAAAATAATACTTATCGATACGAACGAAGCTTTTATTCGTATAGATTTGATTAGAGCACGGTCGGGAAATGTCATCGAGGACGCAATTACTCAAACACAACGAATAACAGGAATATAGGAGCCTCGAGAACTCTTGTGGCATCAGGAGTGGGGGCATATAACACAATATTGATTGGTACCCGCGCCTATGCGTTATAGGTCAGGCCACAAGTACTTTTGGACCTTACTATCGTATCTATCGCGGGTCTCCGCGAGTAGGCTGGTGATGTAACCAGAGTCATAGAGGCGAGGTGCGGCGATGCATTAGCCGCGTTGGCCGGCCTCTTTTGCATTCTTCGGATCCTTCGCGACTGCGTCGCGTAACAGGATGCCGTGTCCTTGGCGAGCCGACACGTCGAACGCGGAACGCCGGTTTCGAAGGAGCGTAAAATTGCTCCGACTACGGGACACGCGATCGATCCGGCCTCCTCCGATGCAGAAAAACGCGTGGATCCTGCCGACACCGGAAGCCTACGTCGCGTTCAAAATTACCCTTTCAAACCCCACTTTTCAGACGAAAATACTTATTATCCAACGCAACGATAGAAATATTAATTTTAAAATGTTAATATTCCTATCAGAGGAAGTTCCCTTAGTACCCAAAGACACTTGAGGTTTCTATTAAATCATTAAAAAAACATATTTTATGCCTTCTGTACTGTTTTATTTTCACAATTTAACAATATTATCCTCGTATCCTTTACTCGCTGTAGGAAAAAGGAAATGAACGTTCGTCGCGCAGAACCGCGTTTTACGAGCTCGAACGGTGTCCACTGATTGCGATATCAGCGGATTTTAATTAAGTTACGCTTCGTTATGGGGTTGAGTGGATCGACGCGGTAAAGCGCGCGGTTCAATTTAAACGAGAAACGCGCGCGAATCGTCCTACGCGGAAACCGTGAGCCGCAATTTCGCCACGTTGCGTTTATTCCCCCCCCCAGAAACGGACGCGACATTTATCAGAAATAAAACCACTCTTTACACCGCGAGTGTTTTGTAAATCAACGACTCTTGGAGTATCCTGTCTCTGTTTCTCGTCGATCAGATTTCCTGAAACGTTTGCTCGTTGATTTTAGACGTACGCGAAAGACAAGGCACAGCAGAAGAATCTACCGCCCCACACGACACTCCAGAGGCACGTGAAAGCGAACAGAAACGTCCACATACCACGGTGAGCCTTTCAAACAGAGTTCATTCTGTGTTGTATTCGAAAATACTGATACACAGCGTTGTTCGGTGCTTGCAGATTTTATTTCCCCGGAGGGAAGCCGTTGCCACTCTCGCAATTGGAGGCAACTATCGCCAAGATCACTGCAGCTTTTCAGGGTCTGCCGGACCATCTTGCTTCTCGCGCCGAATTTCACACGATCACCAAGGTAAGGCGAGAACGGGGCTCGTTGAAACTTCCACGAGACAATATCCCTCGTTTGTCCTCCATTCTGAGCGCCGATTTGTAATTTGAACCTCTTCAGGGGCGAATCAGTCTGTTAGAAAACTGGAAACGCAAGCAGCATCGATGGTAGAGCAGTCTTTTAAAAATTATCTATTAACAGATGTTTTTTAAAGCAGAGGAAACAAAATCCCCTCGATCACAGCTTTCATCGCGTTCGTCATTGAAAATTGTCTATTGTTTTTGTATACGCTTCCTGCAAGAAGCACTCATAAATTACCAATAATGTTGATATCAAGCAAACCAGAGATGGCCAGTTCAATTTTTTTCGTTCGCCTATTTCCAAACCAGAGTCAATGTGGGCGGTAGGACCGGGTGCGTTGTGTCACCTAACGCAAACTTTACTATTCCAAACGTTCGAGGAAACTGTAATTTTACATCGAAACGTTCAATTTATCAAATGAAAGTATAAATATTGTAGATAAATCGACTTATCTGTTACTCAACAAACTCCGTGGATAACGATTTTTTTTATCTTCAACCAGTTGTTTGAAGGTTTTGTTCGGAATAATTTATTTTTTATGGACTGAATATCAGGGATGAGAGCCTTTTACACGGGGGAAATAGTCTCCTTTGGGTGTTTCCAGAGTGAAAATAGCTTGAAAGCTAAACTATACCGTTCCCTGAAGAGGTTTTGGTTCTATTTTGCTTGAGAAACTGCGTACAAACGAGAGTCATCCATCGTTGCAGGCATGCGACCTGCCACTCTACTGGAAGGTGCCGCTTTTCCTCGCGGCTGGCGGAGATCAAATTGGATACGTCGAGATGAACGCCTTCCTTGATTTCTGGAGAGAGTAAGCATCGAGATTATTCAAGATTCTCTACCCAAAAACAATATAATTAAAATACATTCAAAGCGTGTCTACCTATTCTTCGATTGTACCAATTGGAACGTCGTAACATCTCGTTTGTTCCAAACCGAGATCGTATGGCTGGGTTGTAAATATCATAGAATGCTCGAAGGCCCTCGTGAAAACGAAATAATCAAAGAAACGTTGCAAGATCGAAGATTACCAACGTGCAACACGGTGGTTAACGTGTTAATAGAACCGTCTACGTTCATTCATTTGCAATAATTTCATTTGCAGTACGATGCACCGTAAGACGTGTTACGAAAGCGTGAAAGTGCAACGTTGATTTATAAGTAACCTGTAGGCTGGGATAATTTCTCGATCATAAACGGCCTTGTACGCGTAGTTACGAACGAATAACAGATTCAACGCGTTTTACACTACGGCGAATAGAAGTACGCAATATAGGTGGCCATCTTAAAGTAATTAGCTCCATTTCAAACGACAATAAAACTTTAAAAAGTGCCTTGCGTTATTTTATGCCATGTGACTTTATTTTTCTCAACTTATCACCACGCTATATCGCTATTTTATCGTAAAAAGTAACAGATGGCTTTCGACGTGTATTTTTTCATCCGTTTCAATTATTTGCAATTATTTTAAAGAACGTTGGAGGTTGCAGAGGGCTCAGAGGGGCGAGTTAACTCGTCTCGCGCGGTTAGCAGGTTAAACTAAACGTCGTCCATTGTTTGCAGAATATCGAACACCCACCACGACGCGGCGAGCAAGTTTATCAGAATCACAACCCGAGGCCTCAGGAACAATATACTTCCCGAGGATTTAATCCCGCTGGTGCAAGACGTGGTCGAGACTCATCCCGGTTTAACTTTCCTGAAAGAGGCTACTGAGTTCCATTCACGCTACGTACACACGGTTCGTATTCGCGCGATAAATATTTGCGGGGTTTCTCTCGGTGCATAGGAGAACAAGAGAGAGAGAAAGAAAGAAAAAACATTCCGTCGGCAATGAAGCTCCTCCGCGGTTTACGCAACGAGAATCGTCTTTGAATTATTCAGGACGATCGTCGTTGTCGCCGCGAGCAATTATCGCGGACGCTCTCGATTGTCGGAAATCATTTTAACGAGTGGAAACGATTCCGATACCATCGACGGAATTCGTTTACTCTTCGTGGCAGTTCCTGGAAAAATATTTGTATCTTTAGTATTTATTTTTTTGTTAGCGATTCAATTGTTGTAATTCTTTGCGACCCACGGTAGCATTTAAAATGTGCAAAACAATGAAACACAGCGAACGGATACACCGTGCAAGAATGAGTGATGGAGTATGTGAGATCATGCATAGATCAGGGTTCATCAAAGCGTGATTCGAACGTTGTAATTTTTAGCGGCCCACGGTAACATTTTTAACAGACACACTGACGTTTATCGTGGACGTTGATTCCCAGGTGATCGCCAGGATATTTTACTGCGTGAACAGAAGCTGGAGCGGTAGGATCTCCGTGGCCGAACTGAGAAGAAGCAACTTGTTGTCGGTGATCGGTGTCCTGGAACACGAGGAAGACATCAACCAAGTCACCGCGTACTTTAGCTACGAGCACTTCTACGTGATATACTGCAAATTCTGGGAGCTCGATCGGGATCACGATCTCTTCATCGATAAGACGGACCTCACCAAGCACAACGACCACGGTGAGAGCGAGTTTCTTTGCCAAATGTAACTTACTTATGCATTGGATTCTTTTAAACGTGCCATTTTCGTTCAATTTCATTTGAGACTTTGAGGTTCATTTTTAAGGATCGTTCGCTACGTTTCAGCCCTGTCGAAGCGTATGATCGCGAGAATATTCAGCGGCGCCGTGACAAGGGGCGGTATGAAAAGTGGCAATGGCGTCCAACAGCCCCAGGATAAGATGAGCTACACGGAGTTCGTGTGGTTCTTGCTGAGCGAAGAGGACAAAAATCATCCGACAGCGATCGAGTACTGGTTCAGGTACGAATAACAAAGATAAACTATTTATCCGTAACTCTATCTATCGTCTAGCGCGATTTTTTTAACCATCGTTTCGTTTGTAAACAATCGATAGGTGCATGGACCTCGACGGGGACGGATATCTGTCGATGTACGAACTGGAATACTTTTACGAGGAACAATTGCATCGTATGGAGGCTATTGGACTGGAGACGTTGCCTTTCGAGGACTGTCTCTGTCAGGTAATTGCAACATTCACAAAATCCTCTTTGTTTTTTGTACTCCTTGCGTTTCACATTTGTAAAGAAGTAATTGTTTCACGCAGATGTTGGACATGATCAAGCCAGCGACGCCAGGAAAGATATCTTTGAACGATTTGAAGAAATGTAAGATGACCTCGATCTTCTTCGACACCTTCTTCAACCTCGAGAAGTATCTTGATCATGAGCAGAGAGATCCGTTCGCATCAGCGAGAGAGCACGATCCCGATGGCCACGAGCTGTCCGACTGGGACCGATTCGCAGCCGAAGAATACGAGATGCTGGTCGCCGAAGAGAGTGGTAACGAACAGAGCGAACAGATGTAAGTATCATTATTGTACGGCGTGTTACGTTCACGGTTCATCTATACTACCTGTTCTTGTACCAGACGAACCTTTAACGTTCATCTCTTTATTTTCGATACACGTTCCGTTCGAGTTAAAGAAAGAATAGATGAACCGGGCTCTGTTACCATAGAAAGTTCTGGCTTACCATTTCAAGCTATGAAACGGAGCTCATAGCTTTCGAATTCTGGCATGCTTTGCCGTTAGATAGACAGTATGGCCCCCCGCGGGATCTAACAATTTTTTCACCTTGTACTGCGACCGTAATGACAATGGTGCGATCTATGCGTTTGTTGCAGGCTGTGTGATGATGAAATGTAACCATCATCTACAGCTCAGTAAGTAAAGAAAACAGAATTGCATGGTATGACGACGCACGAGGCCCGTGTATGCGTAATGCATCGGTAGAGAATCAGCTAACTGCTTCTTCTACTTCTGTTTCTTTTTCTTTTTTCAAATTTTATTTTCTGTACCCCAGAACTGAGTAGCGAACACGATGAATTACTAATTTCAATTTGTTCAAAATAATGTTTGGAAATATTGGGAGTACAAATTAGTTCGATCCGTTTTGAAAATATGACTGACCGTTATGAGTGTTTCATAGTGACAGCTGATTTCAGCTGTTTCAGAGAGGTCAGACATCTACCAATATTATTCAATGTATATTTTTTACTCTGTTAAATATGTCAAATTTTGTGTTAACTAAGCAGCATTTGCGGGAGGTTTTAGTTCTCTGCTTTAATTGGAAGAAAAGTGCAGCTGAAGCGCATAGAATGCTTGTAGATGTTTATGGTGACAATGCTCCAACTGATAAATCATGTAGGGAATGGTTTCGACGTTTCAAGAATGGTGATTTCATGGTGATGAGAAAGTAGTAGCCAGCAATGGGCAATACTTTGATTAATCTGTTCATTCATTTTTTTATTTGTACTCCCAATACTTCAAAATCTCACAATATCTACATCAACGAACATCTATATGTACAATCAACATTATGTAATGTTGGGAAGTTTTCATGCTGTAATAATCAACCGAACTGTTATGTCATAGAAGATTTACCAGATACACCGAGCAAAAAACCTCATTGTGCCAGCAACAAAGATTTCTCATCGTACTTTTGCAACAAACAGAAGTGAAACTTGAAAATTGAATTTCATATTCTTTGTTGCAATTTTTTCGCAAGCCCAGATCAGGCAAAAACAGACAACCCCATTCTTTTACATTGTTTATTTTCGTTGCCGCAAATTAGGTACGATTGCTTCAACTAAACACCGTTTGTCCAAGCAGAATGGTACTTTAAGTTGCATCGTTTTTAATCGACTAATCGAGTCTTCGACGCTTTATAATAAGTGTTGCTACATTACTCAGTATGTTTATGAATACTATCGATAACCACATCCTCTGTGGAAGACAACATTTTCAACAGTATGTTTCATCCGTCGTTGAATAATTTGCCAATCCGTGAAGCGTCGAAGACGATTATTTAAAATGTTTTGCATCGTAGAGTGCTGTAGTAGAATCATCTGTAGCCCAACAGTTACACTTGGTTTACAGATGATCGAAAGAGCCGTAACAAAACCCGATTTATTTTACCCGAAAAACTTGTCGTTTCCCCAGGTCGTACGATTCCATGCCGGAGGACGTATTTTCTCAAAACCTGGAGATGCTAGAGGGTGGATCGGTAGACATGTTACAGAGCACGGACAGCCAGTCTCAAGGATACTCTGACGGTCTGTCGATGGTCAATCCATCGGACTCTATTCGTCAACAGTCCAAGAATCAATATTATGACAGTGGCGATAGCGATGACTACGCTGAAAGCGATAATTAATCGTTCTTTCGTTAGGAAACATAAGGATAGCTCGATGGAACAATGGAAAACTGAATTGAACAATGATAAAGCGTCAAGAAATGTATCGGGAAAAGAGGAAAGAGGAAAGAGAGCAATGGTAGTTTGATAGTTTAACGAACAATAGAATTACTCGACAACAGGAAGCTGAGTGGAGCAACGAAACGAAAAAAGAGGGAAAGCTTCTCCAAGATCAACTCGATGGAACAGTGGATGGTTGGATGTCATCGAACAATGAGAAGAAAAATGGGGCTAGTTTTTTTTCTTCTGAGAGAAATGGTAGTCTGAAAGCAAGAACAGCTCGATGGGAAGAGAGTTGAGCAATGAGAACAAAATTAAGGAATGGTTTTTTTGTTTTCGAGAGTAAGAACTTGTTTTTCCATGTAATAGTAGTGTCGTGTAACGTTGTCCTCGCGAACGATCGTGTTAACGGGGGTGAAAGAATTTCGCGGTGTCCTGGAATCCACCATTACGAAGTACAAATGTATCGTGGGCGTTCGAACAGCTTCGAGGACGTTTCTATGGACAGTTCGATAACGGATCCGGGAACGATGTTTTTTACGGATAGGGTGGTTCTTCGACAGCGTTCGATAATACCTCTCGAGATCAAGAAAGAAGGTTCTGCATCACTGAACTATGTGATAAGTGTCGTTGTTCAACCTATATACGATCTATACATACTGTGTACTTCACGTTGTAAATAGACAGCAAATCTCGAACCCTTATTTTTACTTAACGTAAGAGCCACTTTGAGCGCGGGTCTTTCAATTGCTGCAGCCGTTTTTAAGGGACTCCTGATCGTGCAGATCTCGAGAACCATCCTCTGAGAATGGGGGACGTTCGTTGCTCTCGGTTCTCCGTTTTTTCGTGTATTCGCGCGTACCTTTTTCTAGCCCAAAGGAAGTTATTTTTTAGAGAACAGGAAGGGAGAGAATTCGCATGTTTGAGGCTGCAACAACTGGATAATCGCGCGTGAAAAAGGATATGCATCGTCATCATCAGGGAACCTCTTGCCCTATGTAATCGTCTTGTAAGCTATAGTATTACACCGCGATCGTATTGCACACACGAAAACTGTTCAGGGATCGTACCGAACAAAAGTAATCGTCTACGGGGTTAAGACGGAGTCGGTTGGCTCGCTGGACCTCTCGTCTCCTTTGCGTAAACTTGAGAGTCGAAGGTAAAAGTGAGCTTGAGACAAGGTTCTGGTTTATGGGACGATAGGAACGCATTGAAAAGGGAATTATATCGTTAAATTCAAATTTCATTCAAATTAAACGCGTGTAATTACAATTGTACAACGTTAAAGGGTGTTAATTATAGTGTGCAGAGCGATAGCCAGCCTCCTGATGAGAAATGATTCTTAATTTGAAAGACCATAGCTATCCGTTGCTGCTGGAATTAGTGTAAAAAACTAGACAAGTAAGAAGATGACTGCCTTCGAATTTTTCCTTGAAATTGAATTAATTTCGTTCACCAGTCGTAGTCCTAATTCTAAGATCCTAAGGTTTTAGAGAATACGATCGATGGAGAGTTAAAATTTTTTTACCCAAAACAAACCAGAATCCTATCTTAAGCGACCGGTTAATTTGGTCTGATCTAATAACGATGCCGTAGACTGTGTACTCGTGCTGCGTGGGTGTCCTCTTTTTCTAACGTTGCAGACTTATAATAGTTGTAGGAGTTTTGCCGGGAGTTTCGTTTAAACGAGTTTTGGACATGGTTAACGAAACGATAAACAAGCCAAAGATGCAACGTGTTGCGTTGTCTAAAGAGCGAAGGTTACTGTAAGGGGAGCGATCGGAGGAACTTGCAAGCGCTTCGTCCTCTCGCGTTCGATCAAGCGACATTCTTTTAATTCCAATCGCGAAATTGAGGAGAGATTCTCTTCAGTCCCCTTCTCCCTTGAAAACACGAAACTTAATTGGATATCGAGCGAACGAGATTCTTTTGTAAAACTATGTTAAAATTACTTTGGAGCGTTCTCTCTCTCTCTCTCTCTCGAAGGGATGCATTCTAAACGTTGATTCGTTGATAGCAATAAGTTGTTTTCTTCTTCTTTTTTAACCCTTTCGGTGCTGCGAGCGTTTATGAGCGCTTATGGGCTTCTAGTCTTAACGCCGAAGGAGTTAATTAGTTTAACAAGGTGATAGAGAGGTTGTAAGGAAATTGTTGAGAATTATTGAAACGACGAGAAATCATGTTTACGAACGGATGTTACGTTTAGATTCTTTTTTAAGGGGAAGGGGCAGGGGAAAAAGCCATAAAGAACGTTCGTTGTGTACGGCGATTAGAAAAATGTGCTTCGAGATTTTGTTATGAACCACGCCGCGACGATAATTACTATTAAACGCGGTTCGACTTATTAATGATTTTTTGTAATTAACGACAGGAAGCCAAGTTGTACCCTGTTATTTGATCAGTCTTCTTGGAATCCCTTGATTGTTATTGTTAAATTGATTGCTCGTGAGATTTTATTTCTGCGTGAATTCTATGTCTTGTTACTTATTAACTGAATAATAATTCGCTTGAAACGATCGAAACGTATCAATTATTTCTAATCGTGAGCGTACTTTGAAAAATAGTACCAGGGTACAATTGTATCAGTCGATCTGTTTGGAACCGCCCAAGACTGCTGGATCGTGTATATATTAATTTCTTCTCTCCGAGATATAATTTTAAATCTGCGTATATGATATTTACTCTAGTCGAAATGTGTGCTATAATTCACGTAACGAACGACCACGAGACGACGACGTTTATTTTAGATCTGTTTCGTGTTGTTTGTTAGTTAACGAAGGTGAATCGCGAGCGACGGAATGGTACGCGAAGAAAATTCCTTGTCGTAAAGGATGTTTGATTCCAGAATGATCAAGATCGAACACGTTTTCGAATGGAAACCAAATCCCTCGGATCTATCAAATTATTTTCTTGCCCGAGTAATTTTTCTAAATATAATCATACATATCGAGCAAAAGAAACGCGTAATTATACAGGGTGAGTCACCTAAATAACTTGGTTGCTATTGGTGATAGGAAATAATGCATCGGGCAAAAATTATTTGGTATCGTGGGGCTGATCATCCTTTCTATAGGTCATTTTATTCGTCTTGAAATACTCTATCAGAGTGTAATTAAAAAAACAGAGATGACAAACCACCTATCAAAAAAACTAGTAACACCAAATGATCAGCCCCTAGATACCAAATAATTTTTTCCTATCACCAATAGCAGCCAAGTTATTCAGGTGGCCGGTCTTAAATGCCTCAACCTGTATTTTAAGCGCAATTATCATCGATGAAAAGGTGTTCTGGAATCAAATATTTATTCTAAGACGGTGCTCCGGGACCGACGCTTGGCAAACACATCGACGCTGGTGTTATTCTTGTTGCTGTTTGCTTACTTCGGTAAATTACGTGAGCCCAGCCTGTTGTTTTACAAACCATTTTCAAATTGTTTATCCTGCACACGCGTTTACCAAGTATCGGTACCAACAACGAAACACACAACGTTCCTTTACGTTGACGAATTTCTGTCGTCGATCGCGAGAAAGGATTTCGTGAATTTCGTCGTAAATGTTTCTACCGGGATGGTTGGTTGATCTTTTATTTGGGTGAACTGACAAAATCGCGAACGAGAATCTCATCAGCGAGACGATCGGGGCGAAATTGATAAGAAAATCGAGTGTTTTATCGAGAAAACAGATCACGAGTCTCCAAATGAGAGGTTAATGTTCACGGTAAGGCTATTTAATTTCTCTCCGTAACCGTTGGGGGAACGATTTTTCGCGAGTAATCGCTTTTGTTGACTGTCCAAAGATGTAAAACTATTAACACTTTACAGTTGTATCTTTTATATAGCTCGTTATGATACCATATACATATGTATATGTATATATATATATGTGCATATCTCTTCGTAGAGGTTTTTCATCGTGACACGTCGCACGTACGCGTCGAGTTTCCATCGAGCGCGTAGAATACGTGCGACAGGGACAAGAAAAAGGACGTCTGGTTATTTGTCATTGCATTTGGCCATGTTTTCGATTGTTATATTTATTCATTATTCTATGATAGGTTTATCACTGTTCTAGCGATCTGTTGCGCGACATTATGAATCCGAGCGTCATTCGCCACGACTTCGTTGCGTCTATTCTCCCGAGGAGGAAACGAATTATTTTTCACGGGGGGAGAACCGGTAACGATCAAAGATATCGAATTCGTGGCTTAAATTCGCACATGCCGTGCTTAGACAGTCTTGATTAATAGACTCACGTTCACCATTTACCTACATTTTTATTTATATATTTTATCTGTGCATGAGTAGATGAGTAAGGTAATTTTGCAAGTTAATAAAAACGAATGGTAAAAGAGCTATTTTTGTCTGGTGGCAGTTTTTCATCCCTTCTTACAGTCGTTGGAAAAATCGACACAGTAGTATATTGTTGGATGACCAAAACGATCATACAAACACCACTCAGTCACATCACAAACATTACAGAATCATTCTCATCCAAACACCCTAATCACGATTTCTAATCCTTACTCATTTTGAACCTCGCACCCTTCCTGAATTACACTGCCTCTTAACCATTATCCCTACCTTTATCTATCTCCAGCAATAGTATAAAAGCTTGCAATATCGAAGAATGGTCAGAAAGAGTCTAGTCGACCTAATACAAGTTGTACGAGTTTCTTAAGAGAATAAAGTGTTGTCAATTCTACTGAAATCCAACAATATGTGTAGTGGTAGATCTAGAAAAGCTCAAGGGCTAACTGAAAATCGTGAAAAAAGTTCAAGGATTCGATAATACCACCCCTAGATATTATAAATAGAAATATTGAAGCTTTGATGATTGTTCAGTATTTGTGAACGAATAAAGAAATCGCTTGAAACGATTAAAATTTAAATAATAGATTTTTTGGGACATTGGGAGGGAATCCTTGATCCTAAACACTGAAATATTGGGTAGCTGGTCAAGGAATGCATGTATTTTTATAGGAACTAAAAATTGATCGAGCACTTGCGAGAGAACGATTCCTCTGGTGGTAAGTGTGGGAGTTGATGATCCCACAGTACATTGTATATACTTTCAGTCCCAATTAGAACCACAAAAATCTTTCTTAAATGCTTGTTTCACCTTTATAGTATAGATCCTTAAAGTATAGGTCTGGGTTAGGCCTGAGTTTACGGTTAGAATTCTTTGAATTCTTCGAAAATTTAAAGAAACAAAATATATTTAATAACCTGCAATATTGTAGCAACGTATCTACAATATTGCCCACTGCATGGGCACGTAAGTATATTACATAATCGTGAGTCAACCGCTATGCAATTAATTATGTCAGCAAATATATAAAACTGTTTCGCATTTAATTCGTTGAATTATGAATTATGTAATTGTAGATACGAACAGATACTCGACAATGTAATACTCTTCCTATTAATTCTAACGTTTTATAATCCCTTATAATTACTTCAAATATTCAAATCTACTTAAGATCTGGGTTAGGTTTCTCTATACATTATTTAATGCAATTAATTCGTTATAATCGATTATCGGAAGCGATAGGTGTTTAAATATTGCGCTAAAAAGTGTCTAAAATAGTGTCGCCATCTAATATCAGGGATTCGTACTGCTGAAATCGTGCCAGGATCATAGAATGTTAGAGGAGGTACCCGGAGTAGAGGTTCCCCCACTCCTGTTACGCAGTACCTTGATTATTTACTAATTACTCTTTCCTGGGATTAAAATGTGAACATTTAGAATTGAAGAATATAGTATAGACCCTTGGCAACATTCAAGGATAGTTTTTATAACCATTTCGCCCGTAATTACGACGTTATTAATGAACATCGGAAGTCGGAACATTTACGGCTGTGTTACTGTCTGCTTTAATCGTTGAATTATCAACTTTTCAACAATAACACACATATTTTCGTTATTAGAGAACCAAGTAGACATCCCTGGCAAGATTCAAGGACGATATTAGCGATAGATCCCTAAGGTGTCGCGTAAAAAGGTTAGAAACAGATATTCGAGAAGGAAAGGCTTACATTTGTCTTCTCTTTCGACTCCCTCGCGACAGGACGGTTTCAAGTTTCAAGTGCTTCAGATAGTTCGGAGAATCGAGAAAGAAGGCGAGTGATAGCTTATCTTTGTCGACTCTACGAAACTCTACAAACTCACGTATACATAATCTGGCATAGTGTGAGAAAGTGAAATGAAGAGTTCCCAGCGCCCCTAGTGGCCGGTCTGGTAACACTGGCTTCCATTGAACGTTCTGTCTATCTTGTACCTTGTCTGTGGTCAAACTGACAGTTTAATTAGAAAATGGTTATAAAGCAAAGATGGCAGTGAGAGGTGGTGCACGAATTTTTCTCCTCGCAATTTTGTGTATTTTTTTGTTAAAATCATGTAACGGGGCCGCGACAGATATTGAATTGGACGCAAAAGCACAGTTGTTACATAGACTTGATAGTTTGAATCTTCTATTGTATACATTTTTATTAATATTGACTGTTTTAACAATATGGACATTTAAGCACCGTCGACTTAGGTTCCTCCATGAAACTGGTCTAGCTGTCATTTACGGTAAGTCGTCTGCTATATCCATTGTTTACGTATGATAATAACTAATTGTAATATATTATGCAAGATTTATTTTCAGTTCTTAATTATAGCGATGGACAAGCCTTTTGTCATTTAGTTATTGCATATAGATACGTATCTATTTAATACATTTACTTTAAAGAACAAAAGCATCCTATGAACTTTCAATGCCTTTCAAAAATGAAAATATTTATTTACAGCGACCGGTCTATGTATAATGTACAAATATATATGTATATATATATGATTTCAGTTAATTTAAATAGAGAATCTCGTTTTAACAATTTTTATTTCAGTCGTCTTAAACAAATACTTCTTTGTTCTTCAGAAAGAATTATGAAATTTACATTTCGAATATGTATCAATATTTTATTTCCATTGTTAACATTTCTTTTCAAATAAATGGTAATAATGATCAGTTATTAAAAATTTTTATTTTAATTGCAAGTACTTTTATGGGTGGCATTCTTATGTAAACTGTAAGAAAATTATATAATGAAAATTCCAGTTATGCAAATTGTTAAGAATACTTATATAAATAAAAATATAAAGTTGATCTTTCTAACAATACTTAAACATTTTCTGAAATTGGTAATGAATAGATGGATGTACGTGGGCATGTTTCAGGATTAATTATAGGAGCAATAATTCGTTATGGCTTTACGACAAGTAGTACCATCCTCCATATGCCTGTTGTCCCAGACAACAGTAGCAAATACAACCAATCAGTTCCACCAGATACATTATGGTTACGTTTCCCAGAAGATAAAGGAGGTGGTGATATTAAGAACAAAACATTTGCTTATTCGTTCAGGGGAGAGATTTATAAACAGGACAATGAAATTGATCTAAAGGTAATATATGCTTTGATAAAGTAGTTTACAAAATATGTTAGTAAAAGCTAAGAGTTGAACAAATAATTGAATTGTTACAGGCTACATTTGATCCTGAAATATTTTTCAATATCATTTTACCACCAATTATTTTTCATGCTGGTTATAGCTTAAAACGTGTAAGTAAAAAAATAAGATTTTTGTAACAATAAACAGTTCTTTATAACTGAAGTCAATTGAAGTCAATATAGCTAATACGTTGCCTTGTATTAAGAGAAATGCATAATTTGATTGAATGTGTAATTTATCATTTCAGAAATATTTCTTTAGGAATTTGGGAGCTATTCTTATGTATGCTTTGATTGGAACAACAATATCAGCATTTGTTATAGGGTATGTATGTTTTATACATAAATATATCTGATTAATAAGGAAATATATATTTTCTGGATTTAATAATAAGTTTATTTGCATCTTTTAAAGCTTTTATATTTAGTATTTCTTGCGATGCATATGCATCCACGGGTCATTTAGATTAAGCTTATCTGTTATTTTTCTCATAGCCGGTTGATAAAATGAAAAATTCTGTTCATAATACAATGGAATACTTCTTTTAATCGTATATTTCGCTTGTATATCTATTATTGCTCTTTTTTTCAGAGCTTTGATGTATGCCTTCTTACAATTAATACCGCATCTTGCCAGTTCGTTCACGTTTCTGGATGCTTTATATTTCGGTGCATTGATATCTCCTACAGATCCACTGACAATAATTTCGATTTTTAATGATTTACACGTAGATGTAAATTTGTATGCATTGGTATTTGGGGAAAGCGTATTGAATGATGCGGTTGCGATCGTACTTAGCGGGTATGTATATAAAAATATTCGAAACTTCTCGAAGGGAACCTGATTTAAATTTAAATATATTTGTGAATATCCTATTACAGTTCTATACAAAATTATGCAGAACGTTATCAGTCAGGTTCGGGTGGATTCGAAACCGTAGCATTTTTCCAAGCATTCGGTGATTTTGTTGGAATATTCAGTCTTTCTTTATTTATCGGTGCTACAATGGGATGTATCACTGCTTTATTAACGAAATTTACTAGAGTCAGAGATTTTCCTCTATTGGAGTCAGCATTATTTGTTTTAATGTCTTACAGCACTTTCTTAATTGCAGAAGCATCTGATCTTACAGGTAAAAACATATTGAGATGCTGCATTACTTAAAATCATTACACAGAGTGTCTTCGATGTGCATAATATGTTTCAAGTATTGTACAAATGTCTTTTCTAGTAACTCAACTTTTATTTTAAATAATAATTCATGCACAGGTGTGGTCGCTGTATTATTTTGTGGCATATGTCAAGCGCATTACACATATAATAATTTAAGCCCAGATTCTCGTCAAAGGACAAAACAACTGTTTGAACTTTTGAACTTCTTAGCTGAAAACTTTATATTCAGTTACATCGGTGTCTCGATGTTTACTTTCCCAAAACACCATTTCGATCCAGGATTTATTTTTGCAGGATTTGTATCCTTGAGTTGCCATATTATTTTTTAAATTAATATCTGATAATACATATCATAGAAACAAGATCCTTAACTTCGTTATTACAGCTCTGCGCGCTACTAGGTCGTGCGGCAAATGTATATCCGTTATCATTTGTGTTGAATTTGGCTCGAAAGCCGAAGATATCGTTAAATTATCAGCATATGTTATTTTTTGCTGGATTACGCGGAGCTATGAGTTTTGCTTTAGCCATCAGGAATACTGTGTCGGATGCTCGACAAGCTATGTTAACGACAACAAGTCTAATAGTAATTTTAACAGTCATTTTCCAAGGTGGAGGAACAACTCAATTTTTGAGTTGGTTCAATATACCGTGAGCTGAAACAAATTCTCTTAAAATCATTTTTACGTTCATGATTATTCGCTCTAATTATATTTGGAACTGATTATATTTCAGAGTCGGAGTAGATGAAGAAATAGAAGGATTGTCACATAATGGAATGCGCAGTGTAAGTATTATACGGTTTTTTAAAAACATTAAATTAAATTTACGAGCACCGATCCCAGTAAACTAATATGAGATTGTGTTTGCACTAACGTATTTGTGTGCTAGATCTGATTGTTATAAGTTATTAATATTAAAGAAGTAATAGTAATATTTAGCAATAACCATTTTTAAAAAGGATATAGTCATTGAAATGTAGTTCAGCTTGTACATTGATAACATTTACTTTAAAAGAATGTGATTTTTGCTATCTTTAGTACATTTTTAGAGTTTTCTACTAGTGCGTATATATTTCTAATTGCAATGCTTATTAACATGAAATACAAGTATTAATTATTTTAATTTGTTTAAACAATAAATTACACATATATAATACAAATGAATTTAAAAAACAAACATAAAAAACTAATAAATTTTTGTAATTTTATTTATTTTACACTACGTAAAAGAAAAAAAAAACAATTATTCTTCTAAGGTAAATTAAAACAATCGGGGAAAGCAAAATTTTAATAAGATTATTTTCCTTTAGAGCATTCTATATATAAATTTAACCCTTAATATCAGAAAGCATCTCTATACATATACAATTGTAATTAATATTTGAAATGTTTTCGATCGTTACATTTCATTTCTTTAAAGGATTTCAAATGCTAAAATATTTACGCATGAATGCTTAGATTCAGTTCTTTCACTTCTATTTTCATCCATCCATTACGCTCAAGTGTCTGAAGTACTTATGATCTGCACTTTTAATATCATAAATCTTGATTGAGAATTACGGGAATTTTAATTTTCGTAATTGTTCACTGCGTGAAAGGATTACATTTATTACTGTCGTCTCTAATAGTAATACTTAAGTAATATTGGGTCACTGATGCACAAGAGATACTAAAATAATAGCTTGCACTAGAACTTAATTTTCTGAGAAATCCAGCATGTCTGTTACATTGTAACAAAAATTTGTAAGAATGCTTTATTAATTCTAAATAAGTGCGCTTGATAATTAATGTAGATTATATTGGAATTTAACTTGCTAATTTTAATAGTCTGGTGGCGAAGGTGGCTTTGGAGATCTGGACATGCGTAGGGAGAGAAGTCCGCCGGTACGTTTTCACATTAATTCCAGAATTGAGTTATGCTATTTATATGGTCACAAACAGTTCGTCTATTTAATATATTTACAAGATAATTAAACCTTGTCTATTTAGATTCAGTTTTACAGCACATGTTCCGTCCTTTCTTACATAATTACATAGAATATAAATTATTGGTTTTGAGCATTGTAACTAGTATTATACGAGTTGCTTTCTGTAATTAACAAATGTGTAAGATAATGGAATTTAAAATTGAGATGCAATATAAGTTATCTTATTAAAACGTTTGCAATAACCATTAATTATTCAGATTATCAGCTATATAATATATATATATTTTATTTTTAATATTATCAAACTGCTGAAACTCATTAATATTACAAACACATAAATGTCCGTAACGAACACAAACTAATTCTTATTTTTTAATATAAAATTTACTTTTAAGCATATACGAGATATTATTTTCTTTTTAAAGGTTTAAAAAAGTATTATTTATTTGTTTGTTTAGTTGCTTGATTTAATTTGTTAAACTTTTTAAATTGCGAAACTAATAATTTTACAGATGCTCACAGTTATTTTGACAACACTATATTGCTAAAATCGTTAGCCTCCTGTTAAAATTATGATTTTATTTGAATTAAATGAAATTTAAATTTCATATCAGTTGAATTTGCTAACAGCATGTGCTTCAATATTTCCTTTTGTATACTTTTTGTTATCCATTCTGTATGTTGATGATTAGTAGTATACAAAATATTTATATACATTTATATACATTAACAAAACATATGCAAACAGAATTAACAGGGTGCACCAATGTAACAATGAACAAACAAGCATGTTCGTTAATACTTAATAACACCAAATAATTTTTTGTATAAAAATTTTGGTTGACTCGAACATTTAACGAAATTGCTGCAATACATGCTGCAATTTTCAAATTATTTTCGTGTAATTTAAATTTATTTCTCTAACAGTTTTATTAATAATCTGTTTTGAAATATATGATTTTTAAACTACCTTTAATAAGTACGATTGTATACTTAATTCTATTTCAAGAAAACATCATGATCATACAGGATGGATAATCAATATATCCTTCACATTTCACAGTATAATTCTATGCAGGATGGATCATTACCAGCCAGTGGCGCAAAACCTAATGAAAAAGCATTACTTGCCAGAATCTGGGGTAATTTCGATACTCGCTACATGAAACCGCTTTTAACTCACTCCAGGCCTACGTTATTAGAAACACTTCCAGTGTGTTGTGGTCCTTTAGCCAGAATTCTCACTACAACGCAACAAATGACACAGGTATAAAATATAATTCTTAGAAGAAAAGAGGATATTTCCGCCAATTTAGTAGAGCTATTATACATTTTATGTCGAAATCGTTATGTTGTAGGACGAAACTATTAGAAAAGCAGATTCAGATTCGGATTTTTGTCTCGAAGATCGTGAAATGGAGCGGCGAAGGACCAGTGTTCAACCGGTGAGTTTTCATCAACCTAATCTCAATTACACTATTAATCCGTGCTATCAGCCTAACAACACAGATACCACTAATCCAGATGAACCTTATGTAATTCTTAATTTACACAGAAGGTAGAAGTAATCAATTTAAATTGAAATATTTAAATTTTTTACTAAGCTTAGCAATATATGAGAGTATTTCGTATATTGATACAAATGAGTTTATCATTTGTACCCAACTTTTCCTGTAATTATATTTTTAAACACTATTTGAAAGATTATCTATTTGTTATACCATTTACATAAAAACATTCTTAAAGACACTTGTACAACATAGTCTTTCCATTTTATATGAAAGTACAATTTCAGTGTTTGGTATAACGCTTACATTTCTATTTAATGTTTTAAGCTTTCTGCGAACATCTATAGCGATTACATGATTCTCGCAAAAAAAAATTATGCTTTCCTGTCTCGATTAATAATTGCTTATGCTAAATTCTTTCATATAAAATGTGTTGAATATGCATGAGAAACTCATTTTTCTTTACTGTAGAAAGGCGGTGATACACATGTGAACGATTAAATAGCGTACATAATATATTGTATAATGTATTTATATACAGTAAGTATACATATTGATTATCGTTGAATAAAATTTCGTTAGTATAAATAAACATATTGTGTATCGCTATTTATCATAATTAAGTTTTATGGGTTATTAACAACACTAACAATATTTCCACACTAACAAAAAATCAATTAGTTGTAAAATATGCTGAAGTTGAAAACGCCATTGTATAGGCATGAATCTACATATAGTCTTCTTACTAAAGTTATTTTACAAGTACAGTAAATGTATGCAACTATTCTAGTTATTAATTACCTGTAATAAACACATGAAGAATTAACGATTTATAATTTATTTTCAAAATCAATATGTGTAATACTACAGTTTGACACTTCCTCATCCATGTAACTTAGATTAGTTAATGTCAAGAAAAATCGTATTATTTCTAGTTTTTGCATCAAATTTTTCTTCATTTGAAAATTATGTTTAATGTCTGCTGATATATAGATATACTATTAAATATTAAAAATGATATTTCTATTAATTTAACTTAAGCATCAAGAACTTGTGTTTTTGTCCAACTTTTTCTTTACCAATTTAAAGCAATTTTTTCCCCGTCTACATTTGATCGCGCTCTTACCGATTTTTTTAGAGAAAAAGAAATGATGATGATGATGATGATGATGGGGATGATGATGATTATGATGATGATTATGATGATGATGATGAAGACCTAAGAATCATTGGAATGGAAGGATTTATTCCGTTACGAACATTATAACGGGACAGAGGCCATTGAAAATAGTATTTTGAGAAGATTATTTTTAAAAACTTTGTAATACATCCTTCGGGTAGGAAAAACGATTAAAAATAATTACTTCGTATATATTAAAACTTTTTTTAATAATACTTTCATTTTCAATTTTTTACGTTAATATTAAATAAGATTTCTACATTATTAGCTAACATTTCCTTACTTTTATTCAAATCAAAAACAATGTTAATTCGATTCCCTTGTTTCAAAAATTTGCTATTAATTATAGAACACATACATATATTTGAATGATTATAAAATATTTGAAAAAAAAAACACGTTAATTGTATTTTTTGAAATGTTAGCAATAAGGTAAAAAGAATAATATCGTTGCAAAAAATATTTATTTGTTGTCTCTGCACTCAGAGCTTGTTGGCGTGACAGTATAATGTATATTAGCATGAATGCAAATTACAGAAGTCAAATTATGTATAGTACATAAAACAGCAGATTTCCAAATTATGTACATATTGTAATTCCTTTGAAACTAGAATAATTATGAAAGATGGTCTGATAAAATTCTAATCTACATTATAAATATAACGAGATTGCCATATTTCTTAAAAATATTGTAATCGAACATTAAACATAATTTTCAGTATTTAGTGGATTTCGTAAGCTTTCATACTTCAGTAATATCAGAATTGTAAAGTTATTAAAAAGGTTTAGGGAGTAGACATTACCCATTGTAATTTCTTTAGTTTTCTTTATGTTGCTCATATTTTTCATTTATCCATATATAGCTGTACTGGCGAAGGATTTAGTTCGGATCTGTTGTATATTGAATGTTATTGCATGAAAAACCAGATTACTTTTCAGATATTAATTTTTATATCAAGAATGCTGTTTAAAAGTTGCCGCTTGCACACTATTTATGCTACTAGTAACAAATAATTTCCACGGGCAAAGTAATTTTTTTTCATCTGCTTTCTTTACGTTATTTAAAACTATTCACTGTATAATTATACCGCTTAACTTTTCTCACTTAATTATTGAGGTTTTCCTTACATAGCACTGTAAATAGCTTAAAGTACACGTCGTTGTGTTTAAGTGTTATAGTCATTATATTTTATTAATTAATCAAAAACAAGTAAAATAAACGATTTAATAATTTCATAAAATTTACATTTAGCATACATAAGTTTTTAATACTGGTAGTGCTATTAACGTTTTGCTTTGAATTTTTCACATAACATTTTATCGTGCAAACGGCAAATAATTTATTCTGCTAGCAATAAACTTTTTACAACTATGTTTGTACAGTTATAGTAGAGTGTTTTCAGTGAGTGTTCCTTTTTTTTAAATATTTCATGTACTTATTTTTTTATTATTTATTTTATTTGTTTGTTTAGCTTACTTTTATTTGGTTTCTTCACAGACACATATAAGGAGCTCTTCAAACAGAACACATTTATAAAAGTGAATATAACTAACGTAGTTTATTACATAATAGTGAGTTGTATACATTTTTGAGGATCTGGTTGCAATTACGTTTTAAGTATTAATCATTGTTCTCTCTACTTTTTATCATGCCATAAACATTTATATCGTATAACATGATCTTCTTATTTTACACAAATCCTAATTCAGTGTATTTAATTTCTAACGAATGTAACTTTATTACCGGATAAGTTTTAATTTCTTAAAATGATACAAGATGTATATGCGTGCATTGCTATATTGTAATCAATACCTCAAATAATATTTAGTGAGAAAATTATGACTTAGGTACGTGCATATGCAATCTTCATGTCAAACTATATTATTGTCATATTATAGTTTCTATAAATGTTGATTATATTTTTCTGGTACTTGTTTTCTTTGGAAAATATTGTTCAATATTTCGGACAAGAAAAGACATTGACAACAAAAAGTTGGATGTAAGTATTGTCATAACGCAACTGAATAACACGGAGAAGACAAAGTAAGATTTGTCTTTCATAAATGTTGTTAAAGCTGGAATGTATTTTTTTTTTGAGATATTGAAATGACATGTCCAACGAAACAATTATTTCATCAAAAATAATTTAAATAAATCAAAGTTAAGAAGGACAAGATAAATTACAATTCTTCTCCCTGTTTAATAGTCTATTTATTTCTGAACATACTTTTCTGAAAACAAATTCTATTCCAATTATTTGTTTAGTTTTGTATATGTTGTATGTAGTTTTCTAAGAATGATTTTAGTTATAAATTCTTGTGTATACAAAACTGATATTCTAATAATTGCATTTGGTGTACCACCAAATAATAGAAGTAAGAATATAAGAGATGGATTCTTGATGTGTTTAATACTTTGTGGGGCAGCTGGGAACTGTGATGGGAGAAGTTAGTCCGGGACCACTACCACTGCACACACGCGTCGCCTTGCCAGGTTTGGTCGGCAGACATTTATAAAGACTAATTTATATTGGTAAATAAACATACCGTGCTAAATATATAATACTGTATGTCCAACTGATAAATGTATTTATTTGAGAAGCTTATGATCATCTGTGCAGACTATTATACCTAATATAATGTTATCTGTCGTAAATAGAATTTTAAAGATATTCCCAGTATCGGCTGCCTTTATTGTTAACATAAATCATTTTTGTAATCATTGTAAGAGCAAATTCACGATTATTATATTACTTCGTCGTAAAGTATTAATATCAGAATGAGTTATAACTCGCGTTATTTTCATCTTATTATTAATATGATTTTCTAAACTTCACCATTTATTTCAAAATGATTTATCGTTCTTTCAAATTTTAAATATATTTGAATTCTTAAATAAGCTGCTTGTATGTGCGTGCGTGTGCGTATGTGTGTTTACCATATTCAAATGTATGTTACATTTATTGGTTGCTCTAAATATGGTGAACTTGAATTTGACAAAGTTCTTTACATACACACACAAAAATTTTTATCGACAAATGAAATTTTTTATCTTTAGTTGATTGTATAATTTACTATTCAGTGGAGGTCCTGGCTTGTAATAATTATTAGAAAAAAAAAATTACCTTAAAATGCTGTTAAATCGGAAACAGTAATGTGATATCAACCTATGTCTCCTAAGTATGCATTTTTCATTCGAATATAATAATTGACAAACATAATAAAGTATAATAAAACACGGTTAAGGGATTTAGACACTCTCAAAAACGCTATATTTATACAAAATTCATACATTAATACATTGACAATAAATTAATAACTTTACGGCATCTTTGTTGCGTTAACAATGTTGCGTTTTTAATTCACATTAATGATGAAGGTTCTGATATGATTTTAAATTATTATATTTGGATGTATTTTGCAATAGTTTGATAAGAATGGACAATTACAGATGTAATACAATTATTTGGACATAGAACTTAATTTGTTATTCAGCAAATTGATTTTGCTAGTATACATATACAGTTTTATTTGCATTCAAAGTGCAGGACACTTAGTGTACGACGATATGCAAATAAATCCTTTTTATATTATAATTTCTAATTGTATAGTCATTTTTAAAAGATGAAAAGTATGTAATCAATATGCAAGTCAAGCCAAGTAAAACGACACTGTATACTTGAAAAATTTCAATGTATGGCAAGCAAGATTAGTGCCAAAGGTCATGTGGTTTAAAAAACTACTAAATGAATAATAAAATTCTTTGTACGAACAACATTAGAAACAAAAAGTTTAATACGTTTCAAATATATAACTATAATGATTATAAAAACAAATTAAAAATTACATTGTTTGCAATGTGTACTCTAATTGTTTGCGAAGAATACATAATATTGTCGCTAATGGTAATATTTCATAAATTTATTAAATTATTAGATGTGTGTTTATAATTTGTATTACACTGCTATTTAATGTACATAATGTATGTACAACTATATTTAAATGTGTTCTATTACCAGCAAGATTTAAACTATCGAATACAGGTGTACCAAATATAAAAATGGTTAATAAATATACATGAATTCTTACTTTAGATGTTGGCTGTGACCGCGTAATAAAAATATTCGAGTATGTAGTTTACGTTTTAGACACAAATATTCAAAATGCAGCATATAAAGAAACTACATCTACAACATATATACTATGCTATTCTTTTTACAATTACATGTATTTACTTAGTAAATTATTTTAATTATACAAAGTAAATTATGCTAATTGGCAACCAATATTAATAAAAAGCAGGATTTTAGCACGTAGTAATTAAAATGCTCTTTTCTATATATTTGTGAATTGAACAATATGTAACAATTGACCTTGCTATGTATACATATATCAAATACTGACGTTGCGATACTATGTACTACAGTTTACAGTGTTTAATAAAGTATTTGTAAGAAGAAGTTCAAATCATGTTAAATTTAATCAATTACTGGCATATCTATAAATCTACGTCAACTACACTTTAAAGGGAAAGCGAAGAGTGTACGCAGAAAAAAAATCTTCTTCAATGTCACGTTCCCTTTTTAAGAATGCCATAAATTAAAACAGATTTACTTTGATTTGTTTACTTAATTATATTTTTTTATTGTCTAATAAATCTGAATGGTTTTTTTCAGTTGGTGATTGATTTATAGAAAACGTAAAACTTTTCACAAAAAAATCCAATAAACCTTTCCCATCATTTATTCAAAATACAACATACCTTCCTGCTGTCTTCTGCAAATGAAAGCATGCTGTTACCGTTTCGTGTGTGCCTTTTCATTTATAGTTAATTCACCATCCGAGTATGCCAGGCAAGTTGTTGATTAATAGCAATTATGAATATAATTAATTTTCCTATCATAAAATCTATAATCATTATCTAATTATAACTTTTTATTTTTCAGAGTATATAAATAAGAACGGAATTCAAATCTCCAAAATTAAGTAAACTATAATTGTATAAAATAAACGAACAAATTAAAATCTTTTGCAATTATATTGTATAGATACTAATTTCAAATAAAAACTCTTTTTGTTTTACATTAATCGATTCTTCGATTCTTATATATCGATTCTTTTGAACAGCAGACCGGATACCAGATACCGGATACCGGATCCCCAATGTTGGAGGTTACGTTTTCGGTGTTTATATGTCAAATCAAAATATTGTTTATTTTATTATAGCTGTGCCTAATGGAGAATCAATAAAAGTACAACATCTAATATGAAACTGGTAATTATATTTATTATATTAGTTTATCATTTATTTATACGCAAATATTTCTCATCATTAAACAAATCCATCAAAATAATTAATATTTGTTAGCTTTCATTGTCATTTCGTATTTATAGTAATTATTATATTTATAGTATTGTTTATCCAGCGAACCAACAAAGCCATGTTTGGTTTTGAGTTTCAAGGGAATTACTCTGATGTTAGATTGCGGTTTAAACATGCAGTCTGTATTACATTTTATGCCAATGCCTTTGGTACCTAGTGCTAAATTTAATTCTTTGCCTTCGTGGTTTCCACGCGATAATCATCAGGATTGGCAAATAGAAGGGGTTTGTATATCTACATATCTTAATTTAGATATAAAAGAAAAAAACAAATATCTTACGTGTTACATTAAATTTTCAGGAATTAAAGGAATGTTGTGGCAGAGTATTTGTTGATTCTACTCCTGAATTTTCTCCACCTCTGGAAAAAATAATAGATTTTTCAGAAATTGATGCTATTTTAATATCAAATTATACCTGTATGCTGGCTCTACCGTTTATAACGGAAGATACTGGTTTCAAAGGCATTATTTATGCTACGGAGCCAACATTACAAATTGGACGATTTTTTATGGAAGAATTGGTAGAATTTATCGAACAAACACCTAGAGCAACATTAGCTAAACACTGGAAGGAGATGTTACATGTTTTACCTCCGCCATTAGCCGATGCTCTTAAACCAAAATCTTGGAAACATATATATTCATTGTCAGCAGTTAATACTGCTTTGTCGTATATTCAAACAGTTGGATACGATCAGAAATTGGTGAGTCGGCAACAAAACAATTGCTTTAGAGTAGATAGAGTAGATTTATTGGTTTTTTACAGGATATATATGGCGCATTAACAGTTACTCCTATCAGTTCTGGGTATTGTTTGGGTAGTAGTAATTGGTTGATTTCGTGTGACCATGAGAAAGTTGCATTTGTTAGTGGATCTTCGACATTGACAACTCATCCACGGCCAATGGAACAAGCCACGTTGAAACATGCCAATATGTTAATATTAACAGGTTTAACGCAAACTCCTACCGCTAATCCAGACACTATGCTTGGGGAGCTTTGTATGACCGTCGGTACGTACAGAAATAACATTCTTTATTGAAAACTTAACGTTTATATTAAAATTGAATTTTGTAGCAATGACACTCAGATCTGGCGGATGTGTTCTAATACCATGTTATCCATCCGGCGTTGTGTATGATTTATTTGAATGTCTTAGCACCCATTTGGATAAGTCAGGTTTTTCACAAGTTCCTTTGTTCTTTATATCACCAGTTGCTGAAACTTCTTTAGCATACTCGAACATTTTAGCCGAATGGTGTGTTTATTAAAATATAAACTTCAAGTATAGGGATTAAATCTTAAACGAGTTTTACGAGTACTCAAATTTCATTTTAGGCTATCGACAAATAAACAAAATAAGGTTTATCTTCCCGAGGAACCATTTCCTCATGCTTTCCTTGTTAAAAATGCTAGATTAAAACATTTTACATCCACATACGCTGAAGGTTTTAGTTCCGATTACAGACAACCTTGCGTTGTGTTTTGTGGTCATCCCAGTCTTAGATTTGGCGACGCAGTTCATTTCGTTCAGATGTGGGGTAATAATCCACAACATACTATAATTTTTACAGGTAAATTTATCACGCTATATTATTTTAGGATACGAAAATATAATAATATATAATCGCGGTTTCCAAACTTTTCGAAAAGTGACCCTTACTCAAAGATAAAAGAATTTTTAACGCTGATCGAATTAAATGATGCAAACCAAAAGATCGTAAAATTTATAAGTTTTTATAATTTTAGAACCAGATTTTCCATATTTGGATGCTTTAGCGCCATTCCAGCCATTGGCTATGAAAGCGGTACATTGTCCAATTGATACGTCTCTTAATTTTACTCAAGCCAATAAATTAATTAGAGATTTAAAACCAGAACATTTAGTTATACCTGAATGCTATACGCAACCACCAATAACTGCACCACATAGGACAGATCTTGTGATAGATCCTGTAGGAGTAAGTTTTGCATTGATTAGTATCGATGTATCGATTGCATCGATAGTTCTTAATATTTCGTGCGTGTTTAAGGAAAAACCTTTAATTACTTTTAAACGGGGCGAAGTTATCAAATTACCTTTAAAAAGGAAAAAGGGACGCGTATTTATTGAACCAGAACTAGCTGGAAATATAATTCCAAATGAAATTCGACCTGGCTTGAGTCTCGCTTCCGTTACCGGTGAATTAGAAGTTAAGGATAACGTATACACAATAAAGGTATACACATTATTGAAACGAGAGTGTAATAAATGTAAATTCGTAGAGTACTTATTAACTAAATCATATTTTTAGAGTATCGAAGATAGATCTAGCGTAAAACGTAAAACTTCTTCTGGTTCACCTGCACCGATCAAGGAAGAAGTTCTTAGAGAAAGGAAACACGAATATGGTACTTTAGATCCACAAGAGTTGCTTCAAAAGCTTAATCAAGAAGGCATTCAAGGGGCCAAGTTACAGCACAGTCCAACTTCTACCAGTATTCACTTGGTATGAAACATTTCTCTTTGGTAGACAGAAATTATATTTAATTGATATATTATATTTATTAATCATTTGTACTCGCAGCAAGACGAAGATACTTTAATTCAAATAGGAGACAATTCGACACATATTTTTTGTAATGGTGATCAAAAGATTAGACGACGATTGAGGACTATCATAATGCAGTGCCTCAAGAGATTTTAATGTAACAAGTTAATAATATTAAAATACAATGACCATTTTATTATAATTTATTTTTCTACATTATTGGAATTTTTCTTCATTCGTTACAGACAATAAATGAATGTTAATTCTACGTATTTTTTTATAACAATGAGCAACATTTGCTTCTGGAATTATATATAGCTTTGTGCTATACAAATACAGATGTTGCATTATACATAATATCTTCAAGTGCGCACGATAAAGGCGGCAGTATTACAAGTGTCATTTCATTCGTTATATTGACGATGAAACACACTAAAAATATCTACTTCAAATGAAAACACATAACTTAAGTACGTACAATTTCGAGACTGAAAATACATTATTTATGAAAAGAACTTTTTTTTACACTATTATATTATGACACAATCTTTTGTTATATGTTGTATTATATATATACATATTTTATATCGTTAAATGTTGGAGGATAATACAAAAAGACAAGTACAGTAGTCGTCTCAGTTGAAGTCCCGCGGAAGGAATGCGGGAGAAGTAGAAAGGATACACGTACACATTGATCTCTCGCTCGCTATTCGTCGAGGCAGTTACACACACACATGTGGACTGCCTGTGAGAAAGAGAGCGAGATAGATAAATGGGTGGTTCGACTCCCCTTGCCCCCCTGTCGCCCCGCGAAACTTCAAACAAGGCGACTACTGGTACTCTACATTCTATATTATTTCTTAATACTTATTGTAGGCTTAATACGACGAAGATTGTGTTACTTTCTATGCCCTAAAGATACGATCACTAAAATGACTGCATTTTTATTATTGCTGCATTCTGAATGGGCATACTATTTTTTGATCAATGCATTTATTTTTACGACTAAACAGATGTTATCATCGACAACTTATATTTGTATTAACGTTATGTTATAAAATGTACAAAAAGCTTTTTTAATTAGAAAAGCATAGATTTCAAATATACTTGTTCTTCATTTTATACTTTTTTCCATGAAAAACAATTTGAAATAATTTATGGAAAAGCGTTATTAAAATTTCAGGCACAAAAGTATATCATAACTTTCATTTGTTAGATATTATGTACTGGTAACTGTTTAGTATATCCCATTACACATTCTGTTATTTTGTTAGTTTTATTTCGTTCATCGCTTTCATTATTATCAAGTTTTACGACATTAATATTGTTTTTAGGATGCATACCTAATTCTTGTATTCAGAACGCAGCATTGTTTAAACCTAATTACCAGTAACAATGCCAATTGCCAGGCCAGCTACAAAGGATGCGATGAAAAAATGAAATTCTGTAGTTTTGAATGTATTTTCGCCGGTAACAGACTGGTACCAACGTCGTGTACGAGTTTCTCCATTTTTCAACAATTGTTCGGCTTTATCTAACTTTTTATCAACATACCTCTCGACCTGAAACAGTAAGTTCCGTTACTAATATAAATTTACTCGTAAAATTAGAAAATATTTTTATAAATACAGCGTAAATATTTACACAAAGAACTCATATAGAAATTTACACTTTACAAAATAAAAAACGAAAGTAAGAATAAATTCAAACCACTTTGTTTATTGCAAGTTCTAACTTTTTACAATGCTTCGTTATTTTTTTGGTATACTATGAGTTTCTTAAATGAATCAATGCAGAGATTTATATACACATATACACACGCATCTGAAATTAACGACTAAACGTATAGAATCTTTTAAATGCACATGTATCTTTTTAAGAAGTATTTTAGAAAATACCTCCATAGCATAAAAGCCACAACTATTTATATCGCATAAAAACTTATATATTAAAAAACTGAAATAAAAATGATCCCTCGCATTTAAATAATCTTACTAATATTATCAATAAATTATATGTTTGATTCTTTCGTGTCGGGGAATATAAAAATAATAGCTAACGTACAATATTAATGTGAAAAGTATAGAATATACACTATATGCTTGTAGTATTTTCAAACATCGGCATTTTTTATTTATTTACGATGCTAAACCAATAATGAAACCACCAATGAAACTTGCTGCCACAAATGAATTGTTTTGACACCATGATCCTACCTGTAAAAATATGAATATTTTATTTACAGTTATTAACGTCAATAGCAAACACATGAAAAGTACTGTGACATTACGAAATTACCTTGTCCATAAACTTTGGTCCTTCGCCAGTAACTTTTTCCTCCACCTTGTCTGAAATCTTCTCAGCTTTTTTCTGAATCTTGTCCCAATTGATTTTGATGTAACCTTGATGCGCTGCTATTTGCAACATTATAATACCACCACCCACAGCAAATGCGGCAATTTTCCCAACTTTCATTGTCACGAAGCCGGTTACCCTGTATGAAATATTCATATAAAACTGAGTAACTTTTGATTGCCAACGAATGAATGTAAATAATGAAAAGTGGTAATTTGAAAGAAGAATAAAAATCGATGACAAATGATCTGAAAAATCAATAAACTGAATATATTACAGGAAAAATAAACTAATATATCTCATAGGTCGTATCTGTGTGAAAAATAAAATCTGGTATTATTTCATTCAATGGCGATGTGGCAGTCAACGTGTTAAAAATATTTAAAAAATTTTCAAGTAACATAAATGTGTACATGACACTTACCATCCTGATGTTGTGCCAATAATAATCTGTTTGGTAGCTGATTTTTTGCTCACATTTCCCAGAATTTGATCTATTATACTTTTTGCTTCTTTCGAGATATCAATGTTGCATTCTTCTTTGTTTGCATCATCTTTGCTTTTCTTAGATACAGGAAGACTCATTTTTACACTGAAACCAAATTATTATTTTCTGATTAATCTTACAATAATTTTAATAATTAATTTTAATGGTTTTTTATATAATTTCACAATTACAAATTGCATAGGAAAAAATTTCTTTGCTAGTTTATATATTTTGTTTTCATTTTTATGCCTTCTATATTTATACACATTATTCTGAATTACCTTATTTGTCCATAAGTTTTCAAACTTCTAAATTTGTATACGTTATTCTATCTTGTAACTAGCCCCGCGAACGATAAAATAGAAGCACTGCTTTCATGGCTTTAAATAACAAAGTGTTGGGAAGTCATTCTTTGACTATTTGTCAGAACGAAAATATATCGATGATAGCATTGCCAAAAATTTGCAATAATATATGTTCTCTTACATGAAACTGATGTTTCGGAATCGATGTATTTCATATCGGATAAAATACATGCAGGCAATAACGTAAATCGAAATACAGTGGGAAAACAAAAGAAAGTCTACCGTTTGAAAAATTTAGTTGCTCCTGACTTGAAGATTTTCTTGTGCACTTTAGGCATGATTAAGCTTAGGCGTGTCGAGAAATTATATAATATCTCATATTTATTAATATTTACACGAATAAATCTCACCTAATCGTTAAATCACTGATGTATTTAATGAAACTAACGATTTCGTTCGGATAAACCGATGTGACAGATCAAACTCTCCGGTATTTCACAATGATCGTTCGTTCGTAGTTTGAAGAACGTGAAGACGTTCCTATAACGAAATAACTGCGTTACCGTTTGAAGAAGTAACTATGCATATACATATAATTGTTATACTGCATTAAACACAGAACGCGTATAAATAAAAATCACGTGGTAACAAGAGAATCTTATTTGCCTGCTGCGTTTTCGCTTAAAATGTATTGCACGAGTACCGCATAACAAAAATTTCAAAACTTCTGTTAAACTCGAGTGGCTGGCAACTGCAATACTAATAACCCGTTGGTCGAGCTTCAAAAGTATGGGGAATACGTATCGCGATGTAAATTAAAAACTTATATCTTTCATCGTATTGTCATGAAAATATTATCTACGAATTGATGCGATTTTCCTAGTGAAAATAAGCCTGAAACGTAATTCTACATAATTTCAAGTGGCACTATTGCTAGCCATTAAGTCGGAGTACCGGAGTCAAACAAGCGTTGCAATGACGCATGTTCGTATATATCTTCTTTTTCTCATTTAAGAAGAATGTCCGTCATTTCGACGCTCATCTGACTCCAGTTTGAGGCTTACATATCACACCAAATGAGTGAACAATTATCTAAACCATAATAAATGTTAGCGACCATTGCAAAACTGTAAAAATATTATTGAGCTTTTCGTTCCGCGAATTAATCATATTCGTTTTAAAAAAATATATTCGATGAATTTAAGAAGTTCGATCAATTTTAATTAACAGTAGATTTTTGAAGAAAAGTCCGGGCCTCGAGCCTCGAGCCTCGTCCATCAGGGAACTTAATTTTTTCAAATACTTGGCAAAAAAATTATTTTCGAATTGTTAATATTTTTTTAACGAATTGAATCTATTTTTAAAAGGGTAATCCACTTTTCAAAAGGGTATCCAATCATTCCTCACCTTCAGGTCTCAAAAGCCTTAACCTGGCCTTGTATTCACGATTGAATTGTTAAAGTAATATATTTAATGAAAATTTAAATGTATTGGTTGCGAAAGCCATGAGTATTCACGGCCTCGTTTAAATAAATTTGTTGAATACGACTTAAAGGCGGACGAAGTGTTCAATTTTTCGCGCCATTTTGGGACGTTACAAGGAGCAATGTTCTCTAGTACCGGAATTACAAGTCGATGTGAACTACGGTAATGGTCTTCCGTCGCGTGATTCGTCATCCTGGTTTAACCTGATCGCCGCTTTCAAAAACTTATCGTCCCGATGAGGTGACGGGGTGTCGAGGGTGCGAATTGAAAATAATCTCGTATATTCGCGTAAAGCGGCCTGTTCTACGCGTAAACATGTGTCCTTTCTAGTTTTAATGAGTATATTTACCGTGTGTGAAAATGGCCCAGGAGACTGACGATATCAACTTGACTCCTCAAGAATTACAGATACTATCAGAGCTAGACAGGTGATTTTGAAGTAAACAAAGCCTGCAATAACAAAATCAATGGCAATTTCTTAGTCGTTTCACCGTTCATTACGTTTCCCCGTATACTTTTTTCAAGTATAACCTAAAAAGTTATTTGACAGAAGAGGCGCGCAATTCGATCGGTTTATTTAGACGTGCGTGCAACCTACTGACATCCTTTTCATATGTCTGATCGTACTACATTCGGTTAATATATGTCGTGCTTTCGCCGTCCATAGGTTTAAAAATCAGTTTTCGTTTCAAAAAACTAAAGTCGTCGCGGTGAAAGTTTATTTAACGATTATAAATTGTAACTCGTGTGTATTTCGCGTGAAATATACTACGATTATCGAGTAATCAGATTTAAACGTAGTTTTCTCTGCGTATTGTCATTTGTACTTGCATGCAAATCTTACTGATCATTGTGTTTTTTTTTTTTCTGAATCTATCTGTAGTCGGCAGTTTGGATTTCTGAAATTAAATTCACCGGAGCAAACAAAGAAGAAAGCTTTAGTTGTCCGTGCAATTAAATATTTAGAAAGGATGTTAGTTCAAGCACAAGCTGAAAAACAACGTAGAAAAGCAGATAGTACAAAAATGAATCCTGATGAGTTAAAGGACGATGACGAAGACAAAGGAATCAGTATTGATCCTAAAACATATTGCAAGCTGGGACATTTCCATTTACTTTTAGAAGATTATAGTAAAGGTAATTAATTATTTATACCGATGTTTTGTTATCTTCCTTTCGGTAACTTTAACCGTCGTAAGTATTTCTTTTTATTTTTTCAGCTATGTCAGCCTATCAGAAATTTTATTCTCTCAAAGGGGATTATTGGAAAGATGCCTCCTTTTTATATGGACAAGGACTTGTTTATTATCACTTCAATGCTTTCCAATGGTAAGTCGTTAAGACAAAATTATTTTATTTAACTGTAAATTGTTTTATAAAATTTCTGTTCTACTAATTTGCATGCATTATTATTATTTTTATATTTATACATGGTGATACATATTCATGTTTAATTTTGAATGTGTAATTATAAAATTGACGTTTGTGTACTAGTTTTAATTTAAACGATACAAGATGTTTCGTATTGTTCGATTTAAAATGTTAAATCAAAGTAGATTAAGCTTACAACCGATTCGGATTAGCTCAAGTACACCCGTATTAAAATAACTTACTTATTGATAAAATCGAATCCGAGGTATTTGTTGTACTTGTACTTTGAAAGAACAAAAGCAAAGCGGTGCAGATGAAAATGTCTCTGCAGAAAAATGTAATCTCTCATGAGAGTAGTTCACCTTGAGAAGGGGGCGTCGGCCCCATGGACGGTGTACACATAGAGTTCATCGTTCTCGTTCCGTATCCTCTATTTTTTTAATTTCGCGCAAAATCCTGCTGGTAATGTTATTTCGTCCCTTACCATCGGTAAGGCAGACTATGCAAAATGTTGGTAAACCAGATCACCAATGGGAGTCGTTCCCGTTTGAATCCGCCGTTAGTACTAAACTCGACGACAGATGTCACTGTTTTTTCCATGTCGAAATAACGAAAAGTGCCTACGTGCCCAGCTGCCGTCGAGGCATGGGCGACTAGGGAGAATGAGGTGGTAGAGGGGGATAATAGGCCAAATACGCATCTGTTTTCGAGACTGAAACGGTAATTTAGATTTCTCACACAAATATTGCGGTTCTAACTACGATAATAGGTTACTTTGTTCATAATATCCCGAAGCTTGGCAGATATGAATTATTGCTGCTTTCTAAGGGTTTTTTCCTTACATATTAGGATACATATTAGGATTACCACGTATATTTCACAAGTAGAAGTTGGAAAATATAAACAGAAATCCTATTATTATCATCGAGCTGCATATTTATATTTAACAGTAGCTATGAAATTTTGAAGATGCTTTTACAGATATTCGTGGTTCAAATTATTTCAGTGACAGTATCGATTATAACGCGCCATGACCGCCTTAATAAAGCTGTTCGGTAAATCTAATTTAACCTTAATCAACGTCAGTGATGTACAGATGTGCATCGAATTTCGTTACGTGCGATCGCGCGCGAATAATATAATATTTAGACATCGCGATTTCAGAAATCGGAACGTTTCTATTCATTATTTATTAGGTACTTTGAAATAGTCCTAGTCCCATAGTATCGCCAAATATCACTTAACGCGGTTATGTTCGTTATTCTCGATTAGCATCGTGTCCAGTGACCAGGTCAAACGTTCGGTCGTCATATTCTAACAATATCATTTGTAACGTTGGAACAAGAGCTTTGTTAAATTTCGTTAAAACAAAAATATCCCTGGAATATGTTATCGATTTGTTTGTATAATTCTTTTGTTTGGTTTTAATGATACTCTGTTATCGTGTCGACCATGATGCAATTTTCTTCGCAAAACAATTAATAATTTATTCGACGTTGTATTTATCTGGCTACGCGATTCGACGTAAATACGTGACAGATATTGTTACTGTTGACTTGACGTTTCCTGTCAGACAATCGGCTTTATAGACGGTCAGGAATGGGAATATCGATTTCCTGTTCAACCCTCCTTAACTTGGATGGAGCAAGATTTCCGTGGAACAAACCTCGCAGAGAACTCCCTTTCGATCTTTCGGCATTCTATACAACCACGATACCACGTAACCGTTATCAATTTCTTCGATTTACGTCTTTAGGATCCCCCTCCCCCAAGCTACCATTTCTCAAAGCGTGTTTTGTTATTCCATCACGTGGGACTGAATATTCAGTGATAGGTACGTTCAGTAAGAATCTTGTATATTGTATAGGTTATGCGTAATCGGCCGGTAACCGCGAAGCGTCAAAGTAACTAGATCATTTTCTTAAAGCGATGCTAGTGATTTAACGTTCCAGATATTAATAAACTTGTTTCGCGTATTATCGATTGTATCGTTCGTTTTTTCCTCGACGAACGTTAGATAATGAATCGATATCGACGCAACAATGGCGGGGATGTTGATTGTGGTGTTGTTTCTTTGTGTCGTTGTCTAGAAGTAAAGGACAATTAGACGACGGTGACGTGAAAGGTAGAATGCCTTTCGTCTTTATCTTGGTCGATAAACCGCAGACTTATTCAGTGGATGAAATTGAATGGAAAATCGTCTCTTTGCGGATGCGAGAGGCGGTTTCCTTGGATATATTGGATTACAAAGCGTTCGTTCAGGTGTGCATAGTAGAAAGTACGTAACAGCAATTATTTGATACGAACCATTCGAATAAAACGACAGGCGTGTATATCTTTTGCTTCGTCGGCATTAATGAGTTCATACCTGTGGAAATTAAAATATTCCGTGATCTACATTTACTTGAAATATTTATTTTTATCTCGTGCATCGCGAGCAAATGAATTATAAAATTATATACGCTGTAAATATTTATATTTTCCAAATAGAAGAAAATTACAAATTTCCGTAGAAGTGCAAGTACATTTTTCAGGCTGTTGTGCATTTTTCTTTCTCGCGTTTATTTTCTCTTTTTTTTTTCTTTCTTTCCGTTTACCGTAGAAATGCAACAGTAAATGAAACCACGAAGTCGTGTTCAACAACTGAAGAAACTGGAACGGGTCGCTCGATACTGCTATACAGTTGGCAGTCTTGCATTTTGTCGTT